ATATGCTGATTGCTACATCGGCATTTCCAAAGGATATGATCAGCTTTGGAATTCTATTCATGTCTATTTTGCAGCAAATTCTTCAGTGGACTTCAGTGGAATTTACTCTCGGGTAAGTGAACATAGAAGGGACGTGGGTGGCGCTGTGGGTTAAACCACAGAGCCAAGGACTTGACAATCAGAAGGTTGGCGGTTCAAATCCCCACAACGGGGTGAGCTCCCGTTGCTCAGTCCCTGCTCCTGCCAACCTAGCAGTTCGAAAACACGGCCAAGTGCAAGTAGATAAATAGGTACCGCTCCAGCGGGAAGGTAAACGGTGTTTCTGTGTGCTGCTCTGGTTCACCAGAAGTGGCTTAGGCATGCTGGCCACATGACCCGGAAGCTGTACACCGGCTCCCTCGGCCAATAAAGCGAGATGAGCGCCGGCCGCAACCCCAGAGTCGGCCACGACTGGACCTAATGGTCAGGGGTCCCTTTACCTTTAAGTGAACATAGGGGCTGAATCTTGGCATATTAAAGAAGCGATTCAGTTAAACACATTATAAACTTCATACAGGGAAATCCTGTTGGCAAAAGAGAGGACTCCACAGCGCCATCTGGTGTCACATTGTTATAACGCATTTAAAACACTTTATCTTTATGAATGTAGCCAAGTCCAGGGTTGCAGTTTTCGTCAATAAAAATAGCTACTTTCATTAATTATATCAAAAATCTGGTATATCATACTGTACTACTTAACACTTTCCAGTGGTTGTAACTGGTTGAACTGCTCTTGACATTTTCATAATGCTGGCCAAAGCATTTCACTGAGGTAGAATACCTCAGTAAAATATAACCTATCTACTAACCTAATTAGCCTTTCATTTCTTGGTCTTCTTTTCCGTATTTTCAGCTGAATAACTCAGCACAGCAGTGAACTTGAACAGATGGGAATGTTTGTATATTTGTACTAGGGTGGGAGGGGGGGAGAGTTACGAAAGGGAACTGTCTCTGGTGCTGAACATGAGAAGCTATTTCCAGAGGAAGGTTTAGACTGAGAGCGTCAAGAGACAGCTAGCCTGATATTTTAACTACTAAGCTGTCTAAGGGTTGTCTGTAATGAGAACAGATGTGGAAACCAAAACAGCAGATTTTGGCCATATTGAAGCATGAGCACCAACAGCCATCTGGAAATCTCAATGAAGGGTAGAGAAAATATAATTCTCTGTCCATCCATGACATATTCAGCCAATTCCTAGGAATACCATTCAAACAGACTTGAAATGGAGATTCCCCCCCACCTTTGCTATTATGCTAATAATAATAATAATAATAATAATAATAATAATAAATGTCCCTTTGCAAAGTAGACTAATTTCTGCACATCCTCCTCCATACTCCATGTAGAGAGGCAAGAGGCATTATCGGAGTCCACGGACACATTCCAGCCAAGCAAAAATACTGAAGGAGGGCGTGGAGAAGGGTCATTGTGGGGAGAACCTCAAGGTCCAGAGAGAGAGGCTTGGAGTGCCCAATCAACCCCAAGGCATGAGGGTCGTAACTCCTGAGCTAAGATACCCAGACTAATACAGTGGTACCTCGGGTTAAGAACTTAATTTGTTCTGGAGGTCCATTCTTAACCTGAAACTGTTTTTAACCTGAAGACCACTTTAGCTAATGGGGCCTCCCGCTGCTGATGTGCCGCCACCACGCCATTTCTGTTCTCATCCTGAAGCAAAGTTCTTAACCCAAGGTACTATTTCTGGGTTAGCGGAGTCTGTAACCTGAAGCGTATGTAATCTGAAGCGTCTGTAACCTGAGGTACCACTGTAGGAAGGTTGTCATCAAAAAGCTTGTAATGTTGATGCCAGGTGAGCCTCCTGAGGGAGGTCACACCATACTTATTGGGTAGGAGTCAACTATTTTTTTATGATCAAGCTTACCACACTTTACTAGATCCCATTTCCCTGGCAAATTGAGCACTCACCTTTCCTACACAGATATTGAATATATTGCTTGATGACCAGTGAAGGCCTTTTTATTTGCCCAGCTTTTTGACATTCAGTAAATTTTAAGATTTATAAATCATTTTCAGTTTTATTGTTGGTTTGGGATGTTTGTAAGGTTAGTATTTTCAGTTAATGCATTTTCATGTTTCTTTAGTCTCGTTTTAATCTGTGTAGGCTACCTTGATTTTTTAAAAAATAGAAATTGGGCACACATTTGTTGTTGTTGTTTTTAAAAAAATGCTGCTTTGCTCCACTCAAGACTAAATGAACTGCCTCTGTCTCTCTTTGTGGTTCTATGAAAATATTGTACGTACACTATTCACAACATTTGAGGAGAACCATCCAAACTACCCTTCCTGGAGTCTGGACAGAGAGGTCCCTCCATCCAACTCTGCTGCCTAAACTGGCTTCCCAGTGGCTACTGCTGACACTTTGCTTTTGCAAAGCATTCCCTTCCACCCACTGAACATGTGATGGAGAGAAAGTGCTGAAGCAGCACCCCTGCTGGAAGCAGCCATGAGAGGAACCTGAAATGGCACATTCTGGAGGTGGTCAGGGCTGAGCTGACCTGAGACCGGTTGCATCTCAAGCCAGTTCCACCAGGATTGTGTGGCAGCATCATGCTACATCTAGGCCTCATCTCCATGCCAGCTCCAGGTTGGCCCAGCAATTGTCCTCACCCCCCATCTTCTCCCCCAGCTGTCATGTGCAGCTGTGCTGAGGATGCAGCTGCTCCCCAAAGCCCTGCAGGTTTGCAGCTGGAGCTTGTTTTGCCCCCTAAAACAAACTGACCAGTACAATGCCATGGTTGACGGCTGGTACTCTCTGGTACTGGCAACTACGTGCTCTTTACATACAAGGTTCTCTGAGCAGCAAGGAATGCAGACATTTAAAGACAACAACAACCATGAAAACTATATCCATTTACCCGGAGATCAACGAGGCAAGAAAGCGAAAGTGCTATGAACACTGCAACGGAAATTACAATTACTATTTGTTGTTGTTGTTTAGTCGTGTCCGACTCTTCGTGACCCCATGGACCAGAGCACGCCAGGCACTCCTGTCTTCACAATTACTATACAAATGATAAAAGCTAATGATAGAGGCTGTGAATAAAGGAACTTTGGCGATCTTTCCATGTGCCCAAGGAGATATTTGTCCTTGTCCTTCTTGAGCAGCAGCCTCTACAGACCACATGGAAAACCAGTTTTGGGATGGAGGGTGCTTTCAAAATCGGTTTTTGCGATATGGCATGGAAGTTTGGATAAACACCTTTTTGTGCATCTCAGAGAACCTTGCTTACTTACCCATACTCATCTTTTTACCTACCATTCTAGCTGACAACAGGCCTCCGAGGAGCTGCTGTGAGAGTTCCCTCTTTTCCCATGTTTATCAGTGTATATGAAGAGAGTAAAAAGAGTCACAGCAACACACTGCTGGTTCCACTGAAACGCTCAGGGGCTGATGCAGTACAGTCTTCAGCATATAGTGCCAAACTGCTTCTAACTCAACCAGTTCTGGCTTGGTGGTCACTTTTGGATTTTATTTATGTTTTGCCCTCTTTTGTGACACACCCTTAAAACATTTTAAAGCACTCTGCAATTTAGAGCACTTTAAAAGGTACTGTGAAATCTGCCCCCTCCCACTGAGATAAGAAAAAAATTGCCATTTTGTTCTCAAGAAGCAAAAAAAGCTGGTGGCTGGAAAGCCTTTTCTTCCTGCTTTGAAAAGAACTGTGTGAGGCATGAAAATGTGCACATTTTCAACAACAGAAACTGGCCCACGAAAAGTAATGTCTCAGCACTGTCCCCATGATTGGCAGTTATCACAAAACCTCATGGTTGTTCAGCCTGGAAGCCCAAACGCCAACATTTTTAACCAGGCACCCTTCAAATCTAGAGTAGATTCTGTAAAGCTTACTGTATATAGTAGATTCTTCATGACTCCTTTCTAGGTGTCACATCTTTTTGACTACATACAGAATGCATATGCTGTTTTCAGAGAGCTTAACTAGGCAGTCTCATCCATCAATACAGAAAGCTCAGAATCAAGAAGCACAGCAAGAAATCAAGCAGTGGATGGAGAGCCAGGATCGGCTGACCACCTGTAGGCAATTCTTCTGGCATAGCAAGCCACATTCAGCCTGTCTGTTTATAAAGCACAAGAACTGCAAGAGTCCGTTACAAGGTGTTAGGTGGCTTTCCTCAGCAACAAGTTTCTCTAGTCTATATAGGCCCATCTCAATAAACAAAACAGTTCCTTTAGAGAAGAGCTGGGAAGAGCAGGGGGTGGGAACCCATTCACAATGGTTCAGGGTAGGGTATGGGACAGCCTGGGTAAGGGGCACATGTCATAGGCTTGTGACTGTGCTGTGTGCTAGCCCCTCCTCTAACCTGGGGAATTGTGGTTGTCTTTTATCAGCTAGGTGTTGGGTCTGTGGCTGCTGTGGCTGAATGCCAGGTTGGCTCTGAGCAAGATCTCTCTCATCCACTGATTGTGGATGAGGAGGCCAATTTGGTCTGCATCACTGAGACCTGGATAGGTGAGCAGGATGGAGTTGGTCTCACCCAGCTGTGTCCACCTGGGTACTTGGTGCAGTATCAAGACAGACTTGAGGGTCAGAGAGTTGCTGTGGTCTACAGAAATTCCTCCCCTCTGTAATATGACAACGTTTACCGATGTAATATAAAAATGTTAACAAATAAATAAAATGCAAATTAAAAAGAAAAAAGAAATTCCTTCACCTCTCTCTAGGATCTCTGTCCAGTTGTTGAGGGGGCAGGGGAATCTAGTGTGTGTATTTCCTTCACAAAGCTAATTTGCATAGTGAACAGCATTCAGAAGCAATATAGCGGTTTTTAATATTTTGGTTTCAACAGGAAAGTTCCATTAATTCCAGCAAGAGATATCTGAGCATGCTTTGGTGCACTTAAATTCGGCTTGCCTCTTACCTGATCTATTCCCCTTCATTGTAATAATGAAGAAGTGGAATCAGTGTCACAGGTTCTTTTTAAATGCAGTTTTTATTAAGGGGCTAGAGAAACATCCCATTACACAGTCCCTCCTGGGATGATCTTTAGAGATTCTGCTGGTTATTTTATTTGGAGGGCTTTAATTTTTTTAATAACTAAGTTGCAACATTTCTAAATATTGCAATTTCCATTAACTCGTGGGCTTAGCTCATGGTGAAAGGCCATAGCTCTGCAGTAGAGTATTTTCTTTCCATGCAGAAGTTTCCAGGTTCAATTCCTGGCATTTCTGGGGAAAGCTGAGAGTGTCCTGTCTGAAACTTTGATAGCTGCTGCCGGAGTAGACCGTGCTGAACTAGATGGACCAATGGCCTTGACTCAGCGTGAGAGAGTGTCCTATAGTCCTATGATGAAAATGAGACAATTATTTCAACACATAAATCTATTGGTCTGATCCTGTGTGTTACATATTCAAGCTAGCTTTTAAAACAGATGCAAATGTGGAAAAATCAGCTTTCCATTCTTTGTTTTTAAAAAATAATGAGGTGAGAATCAATAAATAGTCATATACAGTAGTATTTCTGTTTTAGATCATGGCAAAAGTATTACACAGATTATTCCCCAACAATTACTTCAATCCTTCAGGATAGAAACAGCTGACCAGACTACTCTTACCTCTAAAAAGCAGGCAGAGGAGGCCAAAGAATCATGCTGAGTGAGGTCATTCCATAATCTGGGTGCCACAATCAAAATGATGTTCTGTCTTGTTCTCACCAACCACACCTCTGCCAGTGGGGGTGGACCATGAGAAAGGGCCTCAGAAACTACACAAAGTTCTTGAACAGGGTTAATCTAAGAGGGGCTGTTTCTGAAATACCACAGCCCACTTGTGGCAGGTTGGCTAACCTGTGGCCCTGCAGAAGTTGCTGGATTCAAACTCCTTTCAGCCCTAGCCACCATGTCATAAGGCCAGGGAACTGTAGTCCAACAACATCTGGAGATATTTAGGGATTTCAAAACCAAAGCTAACGAAGTAAATGCTTAAGCAAAGTTAAGTGTGAATATTCTGAGAGGTAGAACAGGTAATTTCATAAGTTAATGCAGGCGTGAAATCAGATTGTAATAGGGAATTCGAATTGGGTAAAGTGCAAATACAAATGTAGATATGGGGCAGAATCTAAAACAGGGCTTGGAAATATTTAAATGATCATGTATTCTATCTTATGTGAATAAGCTTTTGGTTAGAGCTTTAGCGCTCTCTTCCTTTCTTCTGCTTTCAAGGTTTGGTTCTCTTTTAAGAAATAAAGTTTTCCAAATTGCAAATTTGTGTTTCCCATACAGTGGTACCTCGGGTTAAGTACTTAATTCATTCCGGAGGTCCGTACTTAACCTGAAACTGTTCTTAACCTGAAGCACCACTTTAGCTAATGGGGCCTCCTGCTGCTGCCATGCCGCCGGAGCACAATTTCTGTTCTCATCCTGAAGCAAAATTCTTAACCTGAAGCACTATTTCCGGGTTAGTGGAGTCTGTAACCTGAAGTGTATGCAACCCGAGGTACCACTGTATTTTTAAAATGTCTCATAAACATTGAGGTAGCAAAGATCAAGAAAGAAGGGGTGGGAGGATAGCTGTAGAAACAGAGGGATCAAGCAGAGTCATGGGGGGCAGGGTTTAAAATGCCGAAACTTTTCCATTACATGTATTTGCATTTTTATGACACCCAGAGCTTTACGTACACTCCTCTGGGTTCTGTTTTTCTTCCTTGGGGTGGAGGAATAATGTCAGGAATTCCACTCTGTTGCTCCTCAGAAATGTGCCCCATCGAGAAGAGAGGCAGAGGCCTCACAGGAACCCTTCATGCCATGCCTCCTCTCATTTAGATTTGCTTGAGGGGTAGAATAGCAGCCTCCTGCTTGCACCCCAGAGGAAGAATCCATTCGGGATTCAAGTGGCACACATCCCAATGGTGTGTTCTAAATAAATACACTCAAGAATGTCCCCTTGGTGCTTGAAGAAAGGCAGCAGCCAAGCTGGTGTGTTCAAAACAGTGTAGCATTTCAAGTGATGTGTGATGTTCCGGGATGTTTTATCTCGATATTGTGAGGAACGCTGCAAAAAACAACAACAGTGACTCTTTAATGAGGTTTTAGTTTCCATGAAGAGGAGCATATAATTAGAGGACTTTTAAGGCTCTAATTGGTGTGCTGCCAAAGAAGCATGCCATTGCCCAACACCTGTAGGTCACACTGTGCTAATCCTCATGCTGATCTCTGCCAGTCCAAAGAGTAGCACATCATTGCAGCCATAAAACCCTCAGACGACTTGGCTGTAGTTACCTCTTTGGCTTGCTTTCTACCCACTTCCTTATGCAGCCTAGTCCTCTGCATGTCAGCTTCCAGTGAAGCAAATCCCACTGGTGATCAATGAATAGTGCTGACTCCTAGATTAGGGAGACAACCCCATTTACCCAGGTGCAAGCCCCACTCAATTCAGTAAGACCTGCTTCTCATGGTAGGCATGGTTAGGATTGCACTGTACATTTGCTGAGGATGTGTACAAACCTAGCGCATACATGCTGGAAAGAAATCTAATTTAGCTTAACTGTGAGAAAAATACACACAGAGGGAGAGACAGGGCTAAACCGCATACATGGTGTAGTAAACATTATCTGCATCCACTGCTCCCTCTATTGCTTTCCCCATTGCTTATTTCAGACTGTAAACTCCTTGGAGGCAGGGGTTTATTTTTGCTTATGGCATTTGCACACACGGACTGTGCTGTCACCCCTACTGGGGCTTACTCCCAAGTAAGAGGGGAAGGGCCATAGATAGTGGTAGAGGGTCCGCCTTGCAAGCAAAAGGTCCCGGGGTCAACCCCAGGCCTCTCCATGTAGCTGCTGCCAGACAGTGTAGGCTTTACTGAGCTAGACGGGCCAGTGCTCTGACTCGGTATAAGGCGGCTTCTGAGGAGACGTAGGATCGGGCTACGAGTCCCACACCGCGCGCGAGAGGGAGGGCGCAGCTCTTCCCTCGGCGGGAAGACGCCGACTGAAGCGAGCGCGCCGCTATTCGCAGGGACGCTGCGCGGGAAAAAACGCGCCGGAGTGGCAGCGCGTCCCCTCTCTTCAAAAAGTCCTCCTCCTGTTCTTATTTCTGCCTCCGCTTCGACATGCTGAGGAAGCGCGCCAGCACCGTCCAGAGGTTTGTGAGGGGAGAAGCGCTCAGCCCGTGAGAAGGCGAAGCGAGCGGCTGAAGCGTCCCCCTCCTCTCTCAAGCAGCGGCCCGGCCACCTCGCACTCGCTTCTTCAGGCGACTAAAGCGCGGCAGAGCGGCGAGCCCGGGCAGCCCACCCCACCTCCTCCTCCTCCTCCTCTCCTTCCCTCCGCCCTGCGCGCTCGGCTCGGGCGTGGATGTTCGCTGGGAGCTCAGCTCTTCTGGGTTTTTCCCCCCCGCCCGCCTCGCTCGCTCCAACCCGGGCTCCTCGGCTGCCTTGCTCGGCGCGGGCAAGCCGCCTAGAGCCTCTCCAGGGCGCTCCTTGCACCTGGACGCCGCCTCCTCCGGGGAAGCTGAAGTTTGCGCGCCAAAAGCCGGGCAGGGATGGAACCCGTTAACCAGGTAAGGGCGCCGGAGGGAGGGAGGGAGGGAGGCAGGGGGAAGCGCGCGCGCCGGGAGGCTTCGCCACGGGGGTTGGCACCCCTCCTGCCCTAACTCTGCCCTCACTGGCTTTTCTCTCTCTCCCCCCCCCCCCCACCAGCTCGCCTCCAAGGGAACCTTCCGGGCGCTGAAGGAGCCCCTGGCTTTCCTGAGGGTGCTGGAGTGGGTAAGTCGGACTGCCAGCTGGAAGAGGTGGAGAAGGGAGGGCGGGCGAGCGGGCGAGCGGAAGGGGTGGTGTTTGGGCTTGTGTGGGGCTGGATATCTCTGAGTGAGGGGTGCCTAGGTCGGCTGTGGGGAAGCTGTGCCGGGCGTTGAAGGGAATGGCTAGACTCCCCTTGGTCTCAAGACAGTGGTTTCGGTGACTTCTTGAGCCTCTGCTGATTAGGGGAAGGGTGTCTCTTTTTGGGGGGAGGGGACCTTGCAAATCCAAACCCCTCTGGATCTCCACCAACCGCTTTTCCTTTCGAGGGTGGGAGCAGGAAAACCAAGCTCCAGGTTTTTCTTCCCCTTCTGAGGTAGGAAGAGGAGTGCAATTTTTATTTTGTTTTTAAGAGGGTTCTGGCATTCAAGTCCACCTAGAAAGGTTGCTAAGTGCTTGTTTTCTATTTAGGGAATAATAGCCCTCTCTGTTTTGCATTCACTTCTTCTGGCTTGATGAAACAGGTGTGTCTCCTTCTCCTCCTCCCCTCGCTCCCAACCCCCTTCAAGGTTTCTGGTGAAGCCTGGCTAGGATTGTAAGTCCCTTGAGAAGGAAGAAGTAGGGTGAAGAATTGGATTTGGGGTTAAGTGCGGGGAGGTGGAGAAAGACACAGTCTTGCTGCCTTTCATTCCCCAGGACAGGAAATTGGGGAGGGAGATATGGTAGTGAGAGTTTCCCAAAGTGTAAACACAGGATGGAGTAGAGGCACATGTTCCTCCTAGCAACCTGCTGGAGAAAGGAAAGAGGATGGGGTAAATAAGGGCAGACAAGATGGTTCAAAAGCTTCTCTCTTATTCCTGTTATTCGTTATCTACTGCCCCTTTCTAAGGAGCCTATTTGGCCTCCCCACAAAAACCTTTGAGAAGGCCTGGCTTCTCCTTCCTCACTTTTTGAGCCAGCCCTGGTGAATGGTATTTTAGATCCCAGCCACCTCCACCTCCCCAAACTCAAATTTGTTTGCTTTGTGCCTGGCTTCCTTTGGCTTCATCCACTCTGCTCATTTAAGTGCAAAACGAAAGAACTGACGATATTTCCCCCTCCTTTCTATCAAACATTTCTCTCCCCCCTACCCCCTCTAGTTGTTATGCATTTAGCAAACTAGTCTCTGGGCTTGAGCAGTAAATTGAGGCAGATAATTGGTTAGCGGAATAATGTCAGTGTTTGTTTCTCTGATCCTTATTCGGAGTGAAATCTGCAGGTCAAATGACATCCATTGCCAGTAGGTCTGAAGGAAGAGGAAGAACCCATCTGAACGGAAAGTTCAGAGCCTGTCGTGGAAGATTAATCACATCCCCTCTAATGTTGAATGGCTAGCAAATTATGTAATATATATATATATATGAGTGTGTGGGGTGTGTGTTTTGATTCACACATATTATGAACTTGTACATTCGTCTGACGTTTAGTACACACATCTGACGTTTGCGTTGAGATACACAAGCCCTTTGAAGAAGCATTTTTTTGTGATTCTTTTCTTCTCTGTGAGTCCAGTGTTAAGTATGCTTGCATATGCACGTATGCCCATATTTCCCCATAAGTTTTCCCTAGCCAAGTAGTTTGCTTTACACATGGTTGTGTGAAACTTAGAATAGTTTTATATCTAACTCTTTCCTACGGAAATGTGTAAACAATGAGGGGAGTGCTGTCAATCTATTATTATTCCCCACCCCATTGCTTCTTGTGCATAAATTCATTTTATGTTTGTGGAATGCATAAGAAAGCTTTTAATAAAAAGTTTTAGCTGCTAATGAAATGCTCTGTAGGAACAGTCTTAACTGCTAAATGAAGTGTGCCATAGAAACAGTTCATCAGTTGATGGGAATGCCTGTTGTTATATGCTTTGAGTCTACCTTTTCTACACGGAAATGCTGTTTGAAGGAAATGTATGTTGCTGGGCTAAATACTGGCAGTTTGTATCTTTGCCTGTGAATACTGTATTTTAATAGTTATTACAGTATCTCTATTTCAAGGATGGGGCAGAAGCTGAAAGGATGAAGTCATGTGGCCTATCCAAAGTCTGAAGAACACCCAAAACAGAGCAAAAACAACAGCAACAACTCAGGGAGCAGGGAATCTAGCTGGTGGTGAAGGCTTGCTTCAGAAAACTAGTTGTTGGTGTAGAAAACTAGCTAGGCTAGAAAATTCTGCATACTTTGGTTCCAAACAGTGTTGCAACTGGAGCCTAATGATGATGATGTGCTTGTTTCGTGCATCTTATCATCCAGCTAGACAATCACAGTGAAATACATTGAAGGACAAGTTAGGCATGGAAATGGAGCTTTTGCTTTCTGCCCATAATTTAATTGTGTTGCTATATCATGTGTCTGCCTGTCTGTCTCTGCAGCACATGTGGTTGGATCTGTGTTTATTTTATAGCAAACCATGATACATTAGGTTGAAGATTTTTGGATTATGTATATGGAATTTCACATTATCTAGGCAGGGTAGAAATAATCTAGTTGTGACTATCTATGATTGTCTTAGAGTCAGTTAGAAGAAGCTTGACGCTTTCTGTCATATGACCAGTATATCATTTTGTTTTATACGAAAGCCACAATATCTATGTACCATTGTTTATGCATACCATCCTCTGTGCTTCCTGAACTTTGCAATGAAACTTGAACTGGGACCTTTTAAGGGAAGGTTGAGGCATTGTGGCAGGATGGAAGAGACTACCCAGACTTTGAAGAGAAAGTGCTTCTCCTTTCCCCACCCCTTCCTGCCCACCTCAAGGTTCTTCTGTTGCCTCCCTTTTTTCAGCCAAGTCAAAGCAGAAATGTATGGAGCATTCAAAGGAAGATACAAAGAATGCTATCCAGAGACTGCTATCAGCTTAATACGAGGATTGCACCATGTACACTTCCTTCTGCCAACTCAAACCTACAGATCTCTTGAGCTTTGAGCCAGAGGTGTAAAACACTTCAGGGACTGGACAGCATGACTCCATGAGGGTGCTTATGGGGTGGATTGCTGATCCACAAAGAGCTTGGCTTAAGGAATCGTAGAACTGTAGAGTTGGACGAGACACCAATGCAAGAAGGCAGCAGTCAGGGCTTTATGGTGCTATGGATTTTGACTCTTTAGTCTTTTCAGCCACATTAGTTTTAGAGGAGCTTTCTACAATTAATAGCATCATTGGCATCAAGTATCCATCAAGAATCACAGAGTTGTTCAGACTTGTGTAGGCTGACTATATAGCTTGACTCTCACCCAATAGTCTGTCCCCTTGGACAGATTTTGATATTATGAAAAAATCTTCAAAATTATGACTTTTAGGTAGGAAAGCGAAACATTATAATTCATTTTTCTTCCAAACTGATATGTTGCTGATTTCCTAGAGCAGTTTATGATAAAGCTACTAAAACACAGTGTTTTCTGTTTTCTTAAATGCCCTTTTTATTGACTAATTTTCTAGTGATAACCAGCCAGTGACAAAACTCAGCTTGATTCAGGACTTCCGGGGTGGCGCCACCGGCAATGGCGGACTCCCTCTGAATTGGAGGGACTAGCTCCGCATGAAACGGGTCTTTTCCGCTGCGGCGTAGCGGGGACCCTTCTGGAAATCACAGGCGGATGAAGCCTGTGACCGTGGGACTCGGCGGGCACCCTTAGCGCCCCCCCAACCCACAAAGGAACCCACAAACGGGCTCCGAAGTGAAGAGGGGGAAGTGGCACGGTGCTGTGAGTCAATTGCTTTTTCTGCGGAGCGAAGCCGCATAGTCGTTGCCGGAGAGCGCTGCCTTTTTCCTGGGACAATTTGGCATTTAAAACAACCAACCGTGAGTACTGGAACATTGAATATTTGGACTTCAAATAAGAACTGGCGAAATAAAAAGGAATTTGGACTTAAAAATTAACCCTAATTTGGTACTGAAACGGGAAGGTTTAAACAGGAAGTCACCCTTCCGTTTCCTCGTAGTCAGAACAAAGCAAAGACAACGCAAACTAGAGCCTTAAAAATCACTTTTAAAGGATCAACTTTCATCATTTAAAATAGCTGAATCCCCCTTCGGTAGCAGGGGAAGAAGGGGGACCTTTTTTTGAGCTGTTTAAACCTGCAGAAGTGAATCTAAAGCAAAGTAATTTTCCACCGTCCTGACCCTGGAGCGGGGTGTCAGAATTGACGTTTGAAGCTCATTGACCAGAAACAAATGTCTTTGACAGATAGTTAAAAGAAGAGAAACATTGTGACTCCATTGTTTCCTTTCGTCTTTTAAAAGAACAAATATGGACAAAATATCTTAAAAAAGAAACTTTGTTGCTATTGTCTTCAAGAAAAAGAACAACCAGAAGTTTTTCCCCCTAGAGGGGAACTGTGAAATTGTAACTAATTCCTGGGAACTTGCAGCTGTCACTGATTACAACTGTGGGAAAGGATTTGTGACCTTGTAGGACAATGTCTTCAGAAGCACTGTTGGGTGCTTTCTGTAAAATAAATGCCCTATTGGATCAGTTAAGTCAGAAGACGGATTTCATGACTAATGCGGCCAGAACCTTTGAACAGGTAGTGGGAAACTATATGGAGCCCACCCAGGAATCAAAACAGGAGCGTGCCATGACAGAACAACTGAAAGAAGAGGACCTTGCTGAATCTTGGGCGCCAGAGACGGAGGGAGCTGCGGCCCAGCAGGAATATAAACTCTTGGATTTGATAAATGAACTTGGAAAAATCAGACTTGGAAAGATAAAATCTGGTTTGGTTTGGAAATGGGGGGTTGGATAGACCCCCCTTTACAGGGAGATTTGGACTTTTCAAGTCTGGAAAGGGGCCGTCAGATGTTTGGAGCTGTGGGGGCTCTCAATTTTGAAGGGAATCTGGAGCATGCTTGTAAATACTACATCGAGCCTATCCTGGACTATGGAAAAGGGATCGTCTTGCTGAAAAGGGTCAAAAACACTACCAAGCTGGAGTTCCCACGAATAAAAGGGAAATATAAAGAAGAGTTACGGAAGGGACATGGAAGAGACTTGAGGGCCTCGGATATAAGATTGCCAGGTTAATGTGCTAGATTAATAGGATAAAAAGGACTGACAAAACCCGGGACCAGGAGGAAGGGACGTTGGATGAAGACTGGATTGCTTTTTTCTTTTATTTTTATCATTAGGACTGTTTTATAAAATTGATGAATGTTAGGAAAATGTTGAAATGAAACTATTTGGCTCTTATAAAAATGTCTAAAGAACTAGGTAAGAATGTTATGGTTTAGGAGAAGTTGGTAAAAATTAAGATTTAAGTTTTAAACTTTAAGGTTTTCTATAAGATAAGATGAAAATAGATCAAGGTAATGTGATGACAGAATACTATGAATTATGGAAAGGATTTGCTGTGATTATTATAAAACAGGATACAGGAAAAGGGAGGAGGAGGAGGTCAAGGAAAGAAGGTATTGAAAGTGGAGAATTGGAGAATGATGGTTTTTTTTTTATTTTATTTTTTATTTTTCTGTCTTGTTTTTTCTTTTGTGTAATTTAAAAAAAAAAAAACTCAGCTTGATTCAGCCTCAAACCTAGTTCCAAAGATGTAACCACATTATTCTCCTGGCAAAAGAAAAGAAAAAAAACCCCAGAGAGTTTTGTGGCATCTTCTTGTTTTGTTTCCTTCCAGCATCTCACATCCATATTTGGATATATGCCTCTTCAAGTTCACTCCATTGCTTTCTGCTGTTTGCTCCTTGCATCCACATAAGCCTTGCTGTTAGTTTCAGATCATCTGCCTGTGGTTCCGCCTTGGTCTTTTGAAATTGTAGGCTCTCCATGCTAACCCTGCTTTAGTCCATTGGCCTAAATTGCCCCTTGTAACATGTCCTGCCTTATGTCCAACTTCAACTTCATGGCCTTCACCACTCCATCCATAACTTCTGGTCTCTGTCATATCCAGTTACTAGCTTTTCTGTCTTTTATATTCCTGACATTGAACATTCCATGGTACATTGTGTTATTCTTAAGCTGTTCATGTTTCTCTGTGTCATGGTCCAAGTCTTCTCTCCAAAACACATCACATGTAATACATTATTTTAGTCTTGGCTGTGGGTTAAACTACAGAGCCTAGGGCTTGCCAATCAGAAGGTCGGCGGTTCGAATCCCCGCGATGGGGTGAGCTCACGTTGCTCGGTCCCTGCTGCTGCCAACCTAGCAGTTCGAAAGCATGTCAAAGTGCAAGTAGATAAATAGATACCGCTCCAGCAGGAAGGTAAACGGCGTTTCCGTGCGCTGCTCTGGTTCGCCAGAAGTGGCTTGGTCATGCTGGCCACATGACCCGGAAGCTGTACGCCGGCTCCCTCAGCCAATAAAGCGAGATGAGCGCCGCAACCCCAGAGTCGGTCACAACTGGACCTAATGGTCAGGGGTACCTTTACCTTTAGGTTCATCTTCAGTCCTACCTTTTTTGATACTTCATTTAGTTCTTCCAACTTTTTTTTATAGTTCTTGTTGACCTTTGGCTATTGCAACTATATCTTCTGCGTATCATAGACAATTTAGATCTCTTCCATTGATGTTGATTCCATTCTGGCCTCTTAAAGGCTAACAAATATCTTATGCCTTTTGTGGATCAAAGTTTACCCCATAAAATGCAGGAAGTGCTATGAGTTGCAGGTATACATATTATATACCTGAATATATACCAACCAACACGGGATAACGCTTCATGCATCTGATAAACTGGACTGTAATCCATGAAAGCTTATGCTATAATAAATTTGTAAATAAATAAATAAATAAATAAATTTGTGCATCTTTAAAGTTCCATAGGACTCTTTATCTTTTGCAGCAAACCTAAACACACTGGCCAGTGTGTGTATTCCTCTAAACATAGTGGAACTAAAAAAAGGAAACACTTAGGGTCACACAATCATCCTTGCCACAAAATAGGTTTAAAATCTCACATCTCCTTTTCTTGCACTTAATGCTCCATATGAGTTGTCATTTAAAACTTAAAATAGGAAACAGCAACCTTCTGCTCATTTTGTTTTTGTTGTGGCAAATTCTACACCAGTTTGCATCCATTGACACATATGCTCAGAACAGTCCAATTATGCCCCCTTAATTGCCAGATTTACAGCTGTTTCCTTTCGAGTGTTTAATGGCATGCAATATGACCAGTTTCTCTCCCTCTTAAAATAAATAAAGTGCTGATTGCAATGGAATCAATCTGTTTTTAACTACTCTTACTAATAGTGGTGTGTTCTTGGCTGATGCTACCATGCAAAGATTTGAAGTGTTTGTTCACTGTTTTTCATGCGAGGAGACTTGATACTGGAGTGTCTAATAAAGTTCTCAGTTTTGACATCTTTTCAATAGTATGTTGAGCTACAGTACTATGTTTCCTGCAGTGTCTCAAGAAGGCCCGCATCTCAAAACAATTCCGTTACTACAAGGGGAAGCCCACATGGTGCTTTCCTGATGTTTGTTGGACTCCAACTCCCATCATCCCTGACCATTGGCCATACTGGCTGAGGCTGATGGGAGTTGGAGTCCATCAAATATCTGGAAGTAGCTAGGATGGCTACCCTTGAGTTACTGTGCTGCAGACAGTGTATCTCGCTGCCAGCAGCAAGGTGTAAACCCTGAAGTGATCTCACATATTCATAATGTTTGAATGTTCATTCTTTGGTGACCGGAGTGGTGTCATGATGGTTTGAGTTTGACTATTTCAATAAATTGTGTTAAGCTTTTTATAGCATTGTGTTTTAACTGTTGTAACCCTCCCTGGCACTTTCATATGAATGACAGGTAATAAAACAACAGCAGCAACAAGTAAGAGGAGCATTATTCACAGACTCTGTTCTTGTGGTTCAGGAAGTTCTATCTCTTTCCTCCCTTTACATCCACGGCTGTACCCAGCTGCCCCAAGCAGCCTATTTAGGGGCCCTGGATAAGGCTGACCCAACTCGGAGACCACTCAACCTGGATTGTCATGGGAATAACCACACAAGTGGTAACATTTACATGGAAAGGGAGGATGACTCTTGATAGATTACTTAATTTATGAATGGTCAGTGCAATCACTTCGAAGTGTCCTTTTCTCTCAGATGGAATTCATAAGGTTTTGTGCTTTACCAGGTTACAATACTGGGGCTAATCTTGCAAGTAGAAAGGCAACTAGGGCAACAGTGGAAGAAGACTCACAGCAAACTCAACCGAGCGCATCTTAAAGGCCATTTTCCTGTTTATTCTATGATGGTGGCAAAGAAGTTACTGTTTTCTATCACCATCACATCTGTTCAGTGTTGTGCAGTGGAATTCCCCCATGTGATGAGGGACTTAATTGAAATCAGTCTGGCCAGAGAGAGTCTCTGAGTTCCAGCACCTCTTTGTTTCATTACAGCAGCTCTGTAGAGTGGGGGGAATCACTGAATTCTTCTGAGTTAAACAGCTATCACCTGATCCAACACATTTTGGGTTGGGGGGAGCAAGGGGAGTGTGTGGGTGGTGGTGGCACAGCTCCAGAGATTCTTGGATGGAATTGATTGGATGGAATTGATGAGATTCTTTCTCATCTGGCCTTTGGACTAGTTTGGGGACTGAAACTGACTTTGTTGACCCACTGGATGACTTGAAAGGGAGATTGTTGGTGAGTGTGACCCTCTTGGTTCTTCTTTTCAACTTATCAGTGGCATTTGACAACAGTGGCCATGGTTCTTCTGGGTAACCTTATGGGGATGGGTATTAGGATTGTGGTATGGAACTGCTACCATTTATTTCTGACCACGAGGACACCCAGTGGCCTACAGGATTCTGTGTGGTTCCATCTTGTCTCCTATACTGTTTTACATCTATAGCGTATCACTGGAAGAAGGCAGCAGAAGATTTAGGGGGTGGCATCATCAATATGCTGATGATATCCAGCTCTATCTTTTTTTTACACATACGCTCCTAGGGAGAAAATGGAAATGCTAGACTACTGCTGGGGTATAACAAGCTAAAACTCAATTCAGAAAAGACAGAAGTACTTGGGGTGGATGGGCCACCCAATTCAGGTTTAGGAGTGCAGCCTGCCTTGAATGTAGTCGCATTCCTTCTAAAAGTCCAAGCCTATAGTTTGGAGGTGCTCCTTGACATGGTGTTGCTGCTGAATGTGCAGGTTTTGAGGAGCATCTTTTCATGACTTCAACTGGTACATCACCTACAGTCTTACCTGATGAAAGGACCTTGCCATACTCACTCATGCCCAAGGTTAGACTACTGTAATGCATTCTAGATAGGGCTTCCCTTGAAAAAGATTTAAAAGCACCTGCCATTAGTGTAAAATGCTATTGCCAGGGTCTTGACTGGAATGAGGTGAGCATAACATATTATTCCATTTTCTTTGATCTTCTCTGTGTGCCAGCTTGTTTCCAGACTCAATTCAAGATCCTAGCTTTTACCTTTAAGTGCCTAAATATCAAGGTGATGTTCCCTCTTCGCAGTAACACTCCAGTACACTCAGCGTGATATTTACAGTCTTTATTACATATATACAAAAGAACAGCTACAGTTCAAAATCATGCATCCGAACCTATCGAGTCAGATTCAGGGAGTGGCTTCTTTCGATTCCGGTGCCAACAAAGTAGGCGTGGAAATCTCACGAGACGTCTATGATCTTTACGTTTCATTTCTCTCCTTGCCTGTGCTGATGTGAATGCTCCCCCCCTTTCTGAGTCTGAACTTCCTTCTCCCGGCGTTGGTGGGTTATAGGGCTCTTCACCATCTCTGACCCCCTGCTCCGCCTGACTACTCTCTGCCCCCTGTTTTGCTTCACGCCTCATTTCCCTGTCTTCCACTTCTGACAGTTCCTGCTCAGAACCCTCCCCTGCTACTGACGAAGCAGCGCGTTCTGGCTCTTCCCTGACGTGGGAACCATAAGGACTTCCTTCTTCCATTTGCTCTATTTATCATTTGAGGCCCTGACTTGCTCTCCTTAGCTGTCTGAGACCTACTGGATGGCAACAAGGAACAGGGTTTTGGTGTGTTCTTGGGGTGGCAACACCTATCCTATGGAACACCTTTCTGGTTGAGATGAGACTCTTAATCTCAGGGTTGTGCATTTGAGCCCCACATTGGGCAAAAGATTCCTGCGTTACAGGGCGTTGGACTAGATGATCCTTGTGGTCCCTTCCAGCTTTATGGTTCTGTGATTCTATGATTTTCAGCATTTGGTTAAAATGTAGCTGTTTAGAATGGAGTTCAACTGAAGGACATTTCTCTCCTTGTTATATTAGGGTTGTTTCCTTTTCTGTGCATTCAGTTGCGGCTTTTGAGGCTGCTTGGGGAGAGAGATGAGTTGTTTTGTGAATTTGGTTTCTATTGTTTGTATATTGCACTGTTTATGTAAGCCACTTCAAAGGGTTCTTTAAAAAAAAGTTTTAAAGATTAATAAATAAATAAGTTCAAAATATTCATGAGAAGACAAATATTTTGAATGGGTCCTGGCTGTGTAAACAGAGTACACCATATGACATTATTTTCCCATCACATGAATCTCTGGTGGACAGTGGGACCAAAATTTCAAAAAAGAAATGTGACTCAGCCGGGTGGTGTTCAAGTCTGTGCTTGTGGTGTGGCTTTTTATCATGGTGCATGAACTTGCCCCAAAGCTGCTATAAGACAAAGACACACAGAATTCACTTGTGTGCAAAGTAAGTGTAGTAGACAAGCAAGCTACACAGGTGTGGCAAAAGTTGGTAGCAGGACAATGAGACACACCCCCCATTTCTGAAGCAAAGTGTGAGACCTTCCACCTCCTTATCTCATAGATTATTCATGCTGATTTGCACAATTGCCCTGACTAATAATAAAGACATTGGCACCAGGATTAGGAAGAGACGTATGATTTGGGGTAAACATGTTTTTTTCAGTAGCTATTGGTATTATTCCTTCAGTTTGAGTTGAGTTTTTTGCTTTATGTAAAAGGATATACTCAGGGATTGTGAATTTCATTTGGTAAAGTGGAGTTTTGTTGCTTTTTTAAAAAACTTTTATTTACAGTACAACCCCGTGAACTTTTACTTGGAAATAAGTGTGCATCAGCTGGGAGCCCTAGAAATGCGTTGTTTTCTTTAGAAGTTACTCTTTCTTCCTAAGCCTTGAAATATCAGTTTTACTAATTTTTAAATAGTTTATTTCCCCGCTCGAACAAAACCTGACTGGCATGCAGATTCTGTTTTGAATTGCTGTCTTGGTAGAAAACATTAAACAAACACAAAACAGTCAGAGGGCAGTTAGTGGATCAATCCTTGGTTTCCTTTCATCTGGAGAAAACATCTTTCCTTTTCAGTGTTGCTTTCGTTCTGTTCTTTCTGTTCCTCTCACCCTCCTTAACAGGCATTTCACTTTATCTTGAGGCAGAAATTGCAAAACTCTTTAATGTACAGATAATGCTAGTGCACTGTATTTATCTCTCCATCTGTAGCTGGAACTTATTTTCAAGCCATGGCAGTCTTCAGATAATCAAAGCTGATAAGCCTCAATTTTCAACATACATCAGCATAAGTAATGGGAGAATGAGGGCAAAACAGTACTCTAGGAAGACAAATGCTCTGTTTGGGTCAATGTAAGTTGGAAAGAGCAAACATTCCAGACAACGAAAACAAAATTGGTTGGAGAAGATTCAGGGCTATATTTTTGTTGTATTCTGCAATTAAATGTATCACATCTAGGGCTGAGTATGTACTGAATGGGGAAAAGCATGTTCAGAAACTTTAGATGGTCCAGAGTGGCACTCTGAGAGTGACTCAACATTTGGGTGGGACAGACAGAGGTTTAGGCCTGTTTTGTTTTCATTGAGTACATATTTGTTTTCAGACCAATTCGGGGGGGGGGGGCGGCTAGCTTAATCCTAAATTATTTAATTTATTAGATATCTAAAGGACCATCTCATCACATGTATGCAGTCTTGTAGATGCAGGTCAACATCAGAATTCCTTGTGCCTCTGCATCACCAGTGAGTTTAGCAGGCTGGCACTTAGAGGCATGAGCTTCTTAGCTGTATCCCTTCATCAGCATCTATTTCATCAATGTTTTTATTTCACTGTATTGCCAGTACATGGCTATTTCTAGAGGGTCTATGGGGACTGCTTCTATTGTTTTTTAACTTGAATACCATTTTCCACTTTGGTGTGTGTGTGTGTGTATATGTATGTATATGTATGTATGTATGTATGTAAAGGCAGGATATAACTATTTTAATAAATTGATTAAATGCAGCACTTACTGTTTTTACAAAGATGTTTGCAGTGTCAAAATATGATGATGATGATTTTGATGATTCCTCCCAGCCTTCTTTGTAGAATATTAGTATATTTGTTAAATCAGACTTACTTTGATATTTGATATTACTTTGATATTTTGTAGCCAAATATGATTGTGTTAATCTACATTCTTTTTTGTGAAACAGTGTCAGGAATGTGAATGTGACACCCTGTTTACTATGTGATCCCTGATGGGATGGATTACCCTACCCTACTGGGAATTGAGTTTGAGTAGTTCATGTATATTCTTAGTGGTTTTGTAAGCTGCTCTGAGAGCCATTTTTTAGAAGGGTGGGGTATAAATGCTATACCAGCAGCAGCTATAGTGTTTGCTATGGTATATTTAATGCACCTTTTCAATAGAACGGAACAATCTTATTTCCCTTCCACCTGATGCTGACTTGGAGTGGCTAAGCCTCAATGTCTTCTGCTTTTGTTCAGTTTGTATGTGTTTATGTTTGAGTAAGCCCAAAGAGTACATAAGGTTCTCTGCACTGCTGTAAAATACTTACATGTCTTGTCATAAAATGAAGCTGCTTACAAATCTATCTTTCCTTGAGTGCTTATTTGACAGCAGTACCTGTTTGGAAACCTTAATAAGCAAAGAGAGGATATGATGCTTTTACTTAACATTCTATTCATATATCCCGCCCTGCCCCCCCCCCCCCGCCCTCCAGCAATTCTGTTTTCAATAGGTCCTATAAGGCACATAGGCTTTATGCTGCATCCAGGCTATAACAAAATCCACTCTTCTGTCTGTTGTCCCAATGTACTTTCACACATCTCTGCAGTTATAGTAGCATGCAAAATAAGAAAGTACCAGCTTAACCTAACTTTTTGATCTGCTGGTGTGGGGTTCTGTCATCAGCTTAATTTGTTTTTGCTTTGTTTAGGCATGCTTTTTAATAAGAAGATACAAAGCTGAAAATGAATGAACTGCAGCTAAAATCTTATGTTCATTTTTCACATGGTCTAGTCCTCATCTGAAGACTGCAAACACAAAGCCATGCTTCCCCTGCCCGCCCCCCTAATATTCTTAAGAGGGTCTCTTCTCCAGTCTTCAGTGGATGGAAGCGGAGAGGCAGAAAATGGTCCTCCTTTCCTTCCACTCTGTAGTTTTAATCTGAAATCTTAGGCGAAACTGCTCCCACTAATGAAATTCCTTGTCGCAAAACACACCTCGAACAATGGGAGTTTTGAATGCTGCCGGATATAATATTTGAATATTAAAAAAATTATCAAACGAAACTATAACTGGGAAACGGTTCTGACCAGCAGATTACTGGACTGTGCCTCAATTTCCCTAATTTCTGCAATTATGTAGGTAAATGCCCACATTTGCTCAACAGGTGACCTTGCTTCCTGTTCTGTAGACTCTGCCTCTTTCCATTATTAGAGGGCTGCATTGTGGAACCTACAATTTATTTTGAAGGCTTACAGCTGTGTCTCTTGGTGAAAGCTGTAAACAAACATTTGCTGCCCTTACCTGAGTCTCTAACCCGTTGCATTTATATATTGTGTACTGTAACAAAAGTGAAGGGAGAATGGGTACCACTGCCGATGAGTCATCAGGTGCTGCTGCTCTGAATCTTTTTACCTTTGTGTTGTTTCACCAATAGACATTGCCATCATTTAAAGCCTGAGAATATATGCTTGCTTTTTCACATTTCAGTACTTTTTCACGTTGCATATAATTAACTTAGGAAATTCACTATCACAAGGTGGTTAGATGGACACAAACTTGGGTGTCTTTAAAAGAGTTTTTTTAAAAAATAAAATAAAAATGCAGATAAAACCAGTAAACACTTTTCCTGGTCAAAGTCCATAGAGTTGTGTTGATCCCATAGAAGAAGACGACAGAGAGGCACACGAGACTCTTATCTGAACAAATTACTGTTGAAAATATATACAGTATAAGGTTTTCAGTGACCCAGATCTTCTTCCTCAGGCAGAATGTTTGAGGGAAGAAATGAGAAAATATTTAGATATTTCTGTGCAGAGACTCCCTGCTGTGCCTGGCTTATCCTATTGTCTGCAACCCTTTCAATATTAAGATGAAGTTGATGCAGATCATGCTTAACTATATTAAATGTAGGACATATGCTGAAGCTTCAGGATATACAAAGGCTTCCTAGACCAAAGAAGTAAATAAAAATCTCCTTTTAGGTTTCCTTTTGGATCTGTTTGGCATTACTGGGTGCAGAGTTATGTCACACTAAGAGAATGCTGTAGTGGGAGAAGTTGGAGGGCGCCCACGAATTTTAAAAAATGACACGAGTCCTGTGTCACCCTGAAGACTAACAACATTAGAATGTGACCTTGCATGGGCTTTAGCCTGCCAAAGTTATGCCACAATACATTTGTGAAACTTAAAATGCCAGAATATTCTTTGTTACATATTTTTTTTGTAGCAATGGATGGAGCACAGCTATTCCTTTAGAATTTGCAGATTCAAAGTTCATCAAGGGAATGTACATAAAGCTATTCCCTGATTATGACATTGCTAGCAGTTGTCTACACATCCAGCTCAAAAGCAACTGAGAGGAAAGGCAAAGTGTCTGCATATTTCTGTCAGCTTGAAACTTTTTGGTACTTCTCTCCTGTTATCACTTTTATACTTGTTTTGACTCAAGTGTGTCTCATGGACCCAACCTGGCTGAACCACCTAAAGCTGCAAATATATTCAAACGTGCCTGGCAGTAAGTCCTGTTGAACAAAATGGGACTTCATTTTGAGTAAACAGGCATAGGGCTGCACTGTATATATTTTATTATTTTTATTAAATTTGTATACTGCCCTTCATCTGCAGATCCCAGGGCAGTTCACAACAAAAAATTGCAATACAGTGGTACCTCGGGTTAAGAACTTAATTCGTTCCGGAGGACCGTTCTCAACCTGAAACTGTTCTTAACCTGAAGCACCACTTTAGCTAATGGGGCCTCCTGCTGCTGCCGCGCCACCGCCACACGATTTCTGTTCTCATCCTGAAGCAAAGTTCTTAACCCGAGGTACTATTTCTGGGTTAGCGGAGTCTGTAACCTGAAGCGTATGTAACCCGAGGTACCACTGTATAAAAACCACAACATAAATAGTAAAAACAAGAATAACAACCAACCAATAATTCCCCCTCCCCAACACATTTAAAAGGGCATTGGATGTTAATCAGCCCAAGGCCTGGTTGAAGAGGAACGTTTTTTGCCTGGTACCTAAAGGCATGTAATGAAGGCGCTAGACAAGCCTCCCTAGGGAGAGCATTCCACGATCAGGAAGCCACTGCAGAGAAGGCCCATTCTCGTGTTGCCACCCTCTAGACCTCTTGTGGAGGGGGCACATGAAGAAGGGCCTCAGAGGATGATCTCAGGGTCTGGGTAGGTCCTTGAGGTATTGCAGTCCTTAGACTTTTAAGGCTTTACAGGTCAAAACCGGTGCTTTGAATTGGACCTGGGATCTTGAGGGGGCATATGACAATTTCTTTTTCAGAGGTTACTTTTCAAAAGCTCCTCCCTGCTCACACACAAATTGGCCACCCTGTCATGTATGATCTAGTTGACATTCCTGCACTGTAGGGGGTTAGACTAGATGACCCTCAGAGTCACTTCCAACTCAGTAGTTCTATGATTCTATGAAATTGCCAATTTGAAAGTCTCATGAGAGAGTTGTTGAAGGGGAATGTTGCCTGTAGATCTCATGAAGTGTTATAATATAAGGGGTTCACAAATGCATGTAAAGTTTGCTCTTATTGTTCTTCCCAGATCCCAGGGTCAGTGATGGGGGGACAACAATATATGCTACAAACAAGGCCAAACCTTGGTTTGCCCATGTTCAGTATCTTGAAGTAGGGCATGCCACTGTGTCAGTTTATATGTCTCAATTGATAAGCCAATATATTATCTATCTATCTATCTATCTATCTATCTATCTATCATCTCCCTGCTACTTCTCACTGTGGGGACTCACTGTGATTATTTGAGGAAGGACAAAAAAATCAAAAATATATTTAAGATATTGAAATAATACGGTGAACTCCACAGCTTTTATGGATGAGCACCATGGAGTTCCATGTTTTGTTGTTTTCCAGCACCATGAATTAACTGTGCACATCCTCTAAGTACATTAGAACCTCCAAATCCCTTCCCTTCTTTTGGTCTATGGGAAATTTTGCTACAGGTCTGTGTTAAGAGCTCTGCCAATGAGCTATGATTTATTAGTTGTTACGATTTGAATCCAGTAACCAAGCGTTCAGCAGGCAAAGCATAAGAAACAGAAATTTGCATTTGGATATGAGAAATCTGGCCTAAAGATCTACCATTCTAGGGATTCTAAAATACAAACAGTATGTTCTTCAGAGTTGTTGCAAGGGCAGAGATGATGATGAAGATCATGATCATGATCATGATCATGATATTACTCATACCCCACCCATCTGGCTGGGTTTCTCCTAATTAGAACAATGTATTAATATAAAGAATAGCATGCAATGTATTTTCTAACCTTTTTTGTGCTGCTCATTCCCTGCCTTTCAAAAGATTTTATACAAGACGAAGGATTTCATGGGAATGTCAAACATTCGCCATCTTCAGCCTGTATCTTTTCAGGTTTTCTCTTTTAGTCCAGGTACAAATGGTCACAAAGTGTTTTGCAACAAAACGTCCATTTTGGTGTCGTAGAGAGGACCGCCCCCCCCTTTCTCTAGACTTGCTGAATTAGGCATGCAGTACCAACTGTGGAATTGTGTTGCAACGTCTGAAAAATCTGTCATGCCCATGTTTAATTGTATTCAACTTTTCCCCTCAATAAAAATAAGTATTACCTGAAGTTCTGCGCATAGCAAATGGCCAGCTCTGCAGACTAGCGGAACTGTTGGCCTGTCAGTCTGATGTTTATTGCAGAAGAAATACCTGATGTAGCAGGCAATCCTGTAGAACACTGAGTTTGAAGTACATGATTGTAGACTTAAAGTACAGAGAAGGTGGGAGGGGAGGAGAGGGGAAGTGGAAGAAATGTCCTTCTAAATTTCCAAAAGAAAATTATTTGAGATCCTGTTTACCTAAGAGAAGGGTTTAAAGCAGTGCTTCACTGTGCATCTACATTTCAAAAGAATCTTCTTTCGGTGTTTTCTGTCCTTCCAAAATCCGCTTCTTTACTTGCTAAGTATTAACTGCAGCACTAATATGCATTTCTGCAGATGAAGCGAATCCATAATCTTCTTCTTTTTTTAAAGTTGAAATTTTTACACTTTTCTAAATTCAGTACAAACTATGCGGTACAGTGCAAACTTATAAGAGTACAGCAGCAACAAAACAAGGAGGGGTTGTTAAAGGAAAGGAAGGTGGGGGAGGGCACAGGAAAGCGAAATGTAAACCTGGTAATGCATGTCCAAGCGTCGAACATGCAGCAGATGCATAACAAAATGTAGAGCACAATATTCAGGAAATTAATGTAAGGAAGTTGCAGGAGTTAATGTGTTGTGATTTTCTAGCAAAAGCACCCAGTGTGCAAACCAGGGCCAGTGAGGAGTGTGGTCTGGGGGAGGGTTCAATGAGTCCTAAAATTCTTCACCCCTTCCTTCGCTGATGCTAACAGATGTGGAAATGAATTGTATGGGGGTAGGGGGAATCGCAGCAGCAGGCTTCTCCCCTGATCTAGGTGCATTAGCTTACCTTCCAACACTCCACATGAAAATAGGAACATTCTGTTGGGTGCCGTATGTGCAAATGATTCTCCGCATATGTGGCCCTCCAAATGCTATTGGATTCCAACTCCCGTCAGCCCAAGGCAGTATGTCCAATGGGAGTTGGAGTCCGATAACATCTGCAGGGGCCACAGGGCCTCCCCCTTCTAGTGAAGATGCAAGTGGCAGAGGATGTGTGGGAGGAGGCCTTACTGCAGGGCCTGCAGCGTGCCTGAGCCACGTGTCTCTCCTGGGAGTGACGCGGTGGCTTGGGCGCCTGCAGGCTCTGCGCTCCCTGAAACAGCAGCGGGGGACTTGAGTCTGACCTCCGCTCTCCCTCAGCTGCCCTACAGCTGAGGGGGAGGCAGCAAAAAGGCTCCATGCAGCACACCCCGCCCCCATGGACAGCTCACCCCACCCTGGCTGCAGGATGCGCGCACTGCTCCCGGCAGCTGAGCAGCTAGCTACGCCACTGTCTAGAATGATTTCCCATCTGCACAAACCTGCAGATATATATTTTTCATGCAGACTGAATCTGTTGGTGGTATACACTATGGATGGTCCTCCCCCCAACCAACCCCACTGCAACTGAACCACAGCTGGAGCCAAGTGCAAAATAGAGATTTTGATTGGAGGCCCATACTTAGAATTAAGGAATAGAGCACCTTTGATAGCATCTCAGTCCAGGAATCTCTGCCCCACCACCCAATACTAGAACTGAAACAATCCTTCCACACAAAAAACTGTTTCTGGTTCCCACCCAACCCCACTTTCTTCATTGCACAACCTAACTGGGGATGGGGAGAGCTCTTGCTATTATTAAATAACCAGGAGACAGCAATCCTTGGTGATCTACTGCAAACCACCCAGAGATCTAGTGTGTAGACCCCCATCCACACACTATGAATGAATTTTTCGTATATAAATTGATAGCTCACTATAAAGAGAGACCTGCATCTGCAAATGAAGCACAAACCTTTCCCGCTCCCCCAGCTGTCACCATTTCTCCCCAACTCACTGCAGCCCAGGATACCCTTCTCTTATCCTGACTCAGTTGAAATATTACAGGCTGGGAAAAGGACATCAAAACTCACTTCAACAGCAAGGGCAGTATGCAGGGAAAGGCACTTCATTATTAGTTTACTGTGACCTGTGTTTATACATGGAGCTGAAGGTGGCATTCATGGTTCTCCCTGTCATCACAACTACGTGAAGGAGGAACAAGGGTTCCTTAAAGCCCTTCAGGGGAAATTTTAGTCATTGCAGTTGTTATTGTCATTATCTTCACTCCCTCTGCTAACACATTTATATCACACTTTTGCTGCAAGGAGCTCAAGGTTCTGTATGCATTTCTCGCCCTCACTATTTTATCCCCACGGTAACCTTAGGCTGAGAGACAGTCATTCAGTGGGCTTCATGGCTGGGGGGGGGGGAATTGAACCCCGATCTCCCAGGCCCCTCTAACCACTATACCACCCTGGTTTTGCCACCACCAGCCACTTTGTGTTTCGTCCTCACCCCTGCTTTAGACATGACTGGAAGAGGTGAAAGCTTGCTGTAGTCAGGTGCAGTTATATTCTGAATTTCTTGGCCTCTTTCAAAGTACAGTACTCTTTATCCAGTTGCTCCTTTCTGGAATATTTTTAAAAAGAGAAATAGTTCGCACTCGGCCCTTTTTTTACCTGATAAGAGTCTCATTACATCAAGAGTTTACAGAGCCCTTTTGAGAATCACTGCTCCTGTGGGAGATACATTAGTCCTACTTTCTTCATTATTCTTTCACTCTAGGTATTAAGGCATTCTTTCACCCCCCCCCCTTTTAACAGCTTAGTAAGATTTGCCTGTTCAGTTTATTTTAAAGTTTTAAAATGAGCTGCAGTAACCCATTTCAGTAGCTTTCCCCCGAGGTCCCTCGCTATATTGCTTTCTGAATCTCTGTGGGAGAGTTGGTGGAGTTGTCAGATCATTCAAGCTTTTAAACTCAACTTAAGTTTCTTTTCCTGGGGAATTCTAGTGCCTCTTGTACCCTACGAAGAGAGAGCACACCTTCTCAAGGAAAAGGATCTGGCTATGTTTAGGCTGGAAAAGAGGAGACTGAGAGAGGATATGATAGTCACCTTCAAATATCTCAAGGGTTGTCACATGGAAGATGGAACAAGCTTGTTTTCTCTTCTCCAGAGGGTAGGACTTGAATCAATGGCTTCAAGTTACAAGAAAGGAGATTCCAACTAAAGGGGGATTAGACAAGTTCAGTGGCTAGTAGCTATCAAGGGCTACTAGCCGAAATAGTTAGCTTCCACCTCCACTCTTGAAGGCAGCTTGCTCGTGAATACCAGTCTCTGGGAATCACAAAGTAGGGAGAATATTGTTGAACGTGCGTTGCTTGCAGGCTTTCCATCAGCATCCCACCATCCACTGAGAAACAGGACTAGATGAGTCTTTAGTCTGATCCAGCAGGGCTCCTCTTATGTCCTTACATAACCCAATTATTTCAAAGCCTCATTCTATTCTGTGTTTTACTTTCAGTATTCAGTATAACCTTCTTCATCATTGGTCCAGACTTGCTTCATGTACAGTTAGGGCACTGATTTTTCTATCATGGCTGGAGTTGGTATGTTCAGTGCAGGAGAGGCTGAACTAGTGCAGATGGGAATTGAGCTGAAACAGCAGATAGCCTCTTGCACACTGTGCATTTTTGAGGGGATAGCTACTAAGAACTGTCCTGGGCAAAATACTGGTACTGTCAGGTGTATTGTTGCCTATGGGAGCCATCTCGTTGGTCTCCTTACACACAATTCCAACAATCATCACTACTTCTTAACTCTCACAGATTTCAACAGGAGAGGGTCAAGCTGAGGTTTAACCCTTCAACATAAAAGTTGCACCTTGAAAAACTTTAAACATGGCCCTTAAAAAGGTAAAGGACCCCTGACAGTTAAGTCCAATCGTGAACGACTCTGGGGTTGCGGTGCTCATTTCGCTTTACTGGCCGAGGGAGCCGATGTTTGTCCACAGACAGTTTTTCCGGGTCATGTGGCCAGCATGACTAAGCCGCTTCTGGCAAAACCAGAGCAGCACACGGAAATGTCATTTTCCTTCCCTCCGGAGAAGTACCTATTTATCTACTTGCACTTTGACGTGCTTTCGAACTGCTAGTTTGGCAGGAAACATGGCCCTTAGTATTCCTAAATTGAACAACAGAAACAAATAAGGCTGGAAGTCTATTCAGAACTGCAGAAAGCCCAACTCCTCACAATGGGAGGGCACTTGTGAAACATGTACCGAGGCACAAGGTACAAAATAAGCTTTGTATCTCCTTATCTCTTCCCTAAGCCATCAGCTGCACTGACTGCCTGTTTTCATTGAAGGACGTTTGTGTGTGTGTGTGTGTGTGTGTGTGTGTGTGTGTTTTCCACTTCAGTTGCCAAAAAAAGAAATAGTTAAAATAAGTTAAATCACCTATTTTTGTACTTCTGAAGAGACCAGTTAAATAAGAGCCTCTTGCTGACTGAAAATCCAAGAGTGTGCCAGACCTGTGCGATTAAGACCATATGTTTCCTAGGTGATAAGCTCTTCATTCCACACACACACACCCTTCCCTGCTGGAAGACTTTTGAAATAGGGGAAAGGAAGATTAATCCTCCCTCCTGAGAGAAATAAGAGTCCGTTGACTAATTTTTTCAGCATTTAGATGTTATAATTATGCATATTGATTCACCCACTTTTGTTTCTTCACTATATAATGAAACAATTAAAGGGGGGAAACTTCAGTGAAGCATTTGAAATCTGATTCTGTGCTGTTCTATCAAATGTGTTCTTTCAAACCTGATATCCATTATGCGAAGGCATGGGGAGAAATGACCACTTACCATGCACACACAGAACCTTTTTTGAAAACCATCTACACAATTAAACAAAGTTCTGGCAGCCCAAGGCACTACTTTATCCTATAGTGGCGCCTTCCCTGTGGAACACCCTCCCACCAGATGTCAAAGAGAACAACAACTACCAGGCTTTTAGAAGACATCTGAAGGCAGCCCTGTTTAGGGAAGCTTTTAATGTTTGATGTATTTTAATATTCTTTTGGAAGCCGCCCAGAGTGGCTGGGGAAGCCCAGCCAGATGGGCGGGGTATAAATAATAAATTATTATTATTATTATTATTATTATTATACACAGCATATTTCGTTTTACCTGCATAAATGTTGCACTGCTGGTTGATGAGATGTAAAGTCTGTGCCTTTTGCAAGGTTTGCTTGTAGAGGCACTGGTGTTTGGGAGGTCACTCCCCAAAAGAAATAATTCTAACACTGGGAAGTCAAAAGGCATTGGTCCCATTACCCACCCACTGTTTACAGCCCAGCTATTGCAAAAATGTCCATTCATTCCTGCTTCCTGTTCTTTAACAAATTACTGTTTTTATCCCATAACTGCTAAGCTTACACAGAGGTCTTTGGTGAGGAACTTTGTCAAAAGCCTTTTGAAAGTCCAAGTAAATAATGTCTATCACAGGACTGTCCAACTTCGAAATGAGCCATTGCTTCCTGTTGTAGGCAGAGCACACCTTATTCTGATTCAGAAACAAAGCAAACATTTTAGAGAAATGTGTAACCTTAAAACACATTTTGAGAGGTGTTTTCATCCTGCAGCAGCTGCAGATATATCTTAACATTGATAATGGCTCTCCAAAATTTCAACAAAATATATCTTTGTTATGCAATTCTCATTTTTTTCACTTGGTATAGTTTTTATTAAGGGACGCAGGTGGCACTGTGGGTTAAACCACAGAGCATAGGACTTGCCGATCAGAAGATTGGCGGTTCGAATCCCCGCGATGGGGTGAGCTCCCATTGTTCAGTCCCAGCTTCTGCCAACCTAGCAGTTCAAAAGCACGTCAAAGTGCAAGTAGATAAATAGGTACCACTCTGGCGGGAAGGTAAACGGCGTTTCCGTGCGCTGCTCTGGTTCACCAGAAGTGGCTTAGTCATGCTGGCCACATGACCCGGAAGCTGTACGCCGGGTCCCTCAGCCAATAAATCGAGATGAGCGCTGCAACCCCAGAGTCGGTCACGACTGGACCTAATGGTCAGGGGTCCCTTTACCTTTACCTATAGTTTTTATTGGATCATTGGCTGATTTTGGATGCTTACAACAGAAGACTGACAAGAGTGACTTAAATTACTAAAGGGGGTGGGTGGGTTGTATTTCTGCCTATCACCCTCTCTCTGTAGTTTCCAAAAGGCCCTCCAGTCCCCAAGAGCCAGTGTTCAGGGAACTGCAGAAGAAAGGAAAGTTAAGATCCAAATCAGAATGTTCCTGCATTGCAGTTTGTTTGGACTTTGGGTCCCTTCTAACTCTACAATTCTATGTTTACCTTACAATGTGTGTTTTGGGTTTCACAGAGTTGGATACTCATGTTTCTCAGAGTTTCTCAGTCCTTCCTTTATAGCATTCAGTTGTTTTTCCTTTATAGCATTCAGTTGTTTTCCTATTTCCAATGCACATCTGCTTAAACGTTTCCCCCTACCACTCCTATGGGAAAATTCTGTCAGCTTGTATACAAAGTTCAAATGTATGCTTTCTGTTTGATGGTTTGTTTGCATGCCAACACCATTATTGCTACAGGAGTAGGAATTTGATTTCAGGTGGAGGGGTAGAGCAGGCATAGGCAAACTTGGCCCTCCAGTTGTTTTGGGACTACAATTCTCATCACCCCTGACCACTGCTCCTGTTAGCTAGGGATCATGGGGATTGTAGTCCAAAAACATCTGGTGGGTCAAGTTTGCCTATGCTTGGGGTAGAGGTTTGGTTCAGGAGGATGGCGTGAAACAACTCTTGATGAACAGTTCAGCATATGTACACGCCCCGCTATTAGATGAAACACAAAGTTCCAGATAACAGAGGCACATCCTATTGCATAACACAGTGGACAAAGCAGTATTTCTGAAATACGGTAATTATCAGTTCATGTCCCAGAGGCGGATTTAGGGCAGTGCGAATAGTTCTGCTGCACTGGATGCCAAGCCCAGGGGGTGCTGCAGAGCACCACAACTATGACATAGTGAACTGAGCAGAACGACAGGCCCTCATGCCGGGCGCCACTGAAATATGAAAGACCCAAGTCTGCTTTTGTGTGTCTCTTATGGCTATCCAGCTTGATCATCTGTGTTCATGAAGGCCATGGGGTGGGATGAGGAAGCATCACCTTGTTTTTTTGTGGCAATGTAAGTCTCCTTGAAGTAAAAGATCTGATGTGAATATAAATTGGGATTTTTCTGCCAACTAGTGTTTGGTGAAGCTTGCAGTAATATTTGTTTCTGTAAGGTGATGCTATTGTGTAAGCCGATTAGCCTTTTGCTGGGGTGAATTAGGCTTTGATTGAGCTCTTTCGGGCATACTCATTGTATGTCGTGCATATGACTCATTGAACACACCAGAATTATTTCTTGTGCATAATTACTAAATGTATTTGAAGAGGAGACACCCATCCTCCCACTTGCCCTTTCAGCCCTCCATGAACAGTTGTAGGGGCCAATAAAGTAAGAGGGGTTGGCTGTTCTTTAGGAATCAAGCTGTTTTTCTGTTTAAAAAAAATCATTTTCATGCTTCAGAGATTGAATATAATGATAGTCACATTGCATGTAAGCTACTCTCTCCCCACCATTTTACACTAAAAATAAAATAAAAAATGACAAGCATTTTAGGAGCAGTAACCTAGATGACAGTGGAGTAATGATCTACACTTTTGTTGTGGTTTGTTTACTTAATAACCTGCCTTCCTGAAACCAGTTCCCTAGACACAATTCAACCTCTGTCTTGCCTACATGTCCAAGTAGTTAAACCCAATGATAAGTGAGTTGAAAGCAATACAAAAAAATCCTTTGAGGGACTTTTGAGTTCATTTTATATTGGAACAAATACAGTGGTACCTCGGGTTAAGTACTTAATTCGTTCCGGAGGTCCGTACTTAACCTGAAACTGTTCTTAACCTGAAGCACCACTTTAGCTAATGGGGCCTCCTGCTGCCGCCGGAGCACAATTTCTGTTCTCATCCTGAAGCAAAGTTCTTAACCTGAAGCACTATTTCTGGATTAGCGGAGTCTGTAACCTGAAGCATATGTAACCTGAGGTACCACTGTAACCATGTCAAGTTTGAATATTATGAGAGTGGTAACTGCCCAAATCAGGTTGCGCTATATAAATAAGTTAAAATGTTAGCCATCACATGATGAATCATGCTTTAACTGCTTGATACTTTAATGTTTTGTCTGACATTTTTAATAAAACACATGCAATTATATTTAATGCAAAAAGATGCATACATGCATGCAAAAGACTGCAACTGCTGGCATTTCTTCAGATTTACCAATGAATGTTACAGTTTCCTGGCTAACATCATAAGGCCAGTGTCTCTTGCATTGTGTAAGCAATAATTTACTCTTGGTGATGATGCTTTGCAAAAGGATGGCAATTACGGATTCACACCTGGATTCACAAACACAGATACCCAAAAGGTAATGGTTTTTACTACATTGTATATTTGAAATAATTAAGGATAGCTTATTCTCAGTTGTTCCTAATTCTGTCCTTATTATTCAGAACTAAAGATGCTACTGGTGCTGGAAGCCTACAGCTGCAGCAAAGATGCATAGGAAACTGATACCTCATCTGTGTCTGCTATAAATAATGACAAATGGCTAGGCAGTAATCAGTAACTGCTTCTTGATGGCAATTTGGTGCCATTTCATTTTACTTTTTTTTCAAAATTGGATTTAAGGGGCTATGGCTGAGAAAAAGAAATCCTTGCATAAGAATGAAAAGGACTAAAATGTTTTTTGTTGCTGGCCAGCACCCAAGTTCTGCCAAAGATGAGCTTTGGTACCTGCTTGAGACAGGCTGCCTCATCATATCTAATGGTAGGACTGGCCCTGAGTACTATGATCTACTGTGCTGAACACTTGACTCATCTCATCTCCTTGCACTATATGAGAGGCACCTTGCTGCTGTTCCAAGACAGTGATCATCATTCTGTACAAGTGCTGGAGAAAAGCTTGTCTATTATTCTGGAATTATTTTATTTTGCAGGGTTGAATTAAGGGTTGAAGTGGTGGTTAAGAAACACTGGTGTGGAAGGACAGTCTTTCCATTTAGAGCTGATGAAATTTTACACTGTTGAATAGTGTTTTTTTACTGTGCAGTTTGTTGGACTGAGGAGTTCTTGGAAGCAAGTGGGACATAGATGGTAACTCTTCCTCACTTGCCAGATGCCACTTAATTTATTGCAGTCAAAACATTGGCTTGCACCACCACAGGGTAAGCCTGCATAGGTTTTGGCTAGATTAGGGCTAGATTGTAATTTGCAACTCACAATGGATGAATATGAGTTCTCTCAAGTTAAGTACCTGTCATGGACTGGTTGGACACAGAGGAGGTGGGAGGAACTAGCTCAGGAACCACCAAGGGAAGAAGGCTCAGAGCCTGGGGAATGGTGGTGGAAGAATGATGAAGGGTTAAAGGGAAAAGACTGGGAAGAGGAGATGTTAGTAACTTAGAGGTAACAGGACTTAGTGAGCTGGGAGAATCTGTGGCAGAGAGAAGTCCAGAATCAGAAACTGAAGCTGATACATGGGAGGATGGAGGCCAGGAGTCAGAGATGTCTGACTGGTGAAGAGTTACAGGTGTCTCCCCCTTCTGCCTCAACAAGTCCCCCTACCCTCTGTCTCCCAGAACCAGGAAAGGCATGAAAAGGGCAGAGGAGAGGTTGGCTGCATGGAGGCACAGTCTCTGATTGCTTGGGGAAAGCCCTGGAGAGGAAAGGACTTAGATGGTTGTGGGGAGGCAGGAACTTTCAGTCTTGGCAACTGACTTTCATGGAGTAAGGCCACTGGGAATGAGCTGCTGTGCTCTTTAGGCCTGACACTCGGCCAAGTCTGTGGAGATTGTATTTTTTGCTACTAAAGAGTTAACTCCAACTTTGAGCTGTGCGATTACTGCCCAGCAAGCTTTGTAACAGTACCTAAGTTCCAGTCACAGGTGAGGTCAGATGCACATGTGTAGCATGCTCCCTGTCTTTCTGCCTGCTTTCAAATTTTCTATAGGTTTTGGTGGCTAATAAACATCTTTTTCTGACAGGTGCTTGGAGGAGAGACCTTATTGCTGCTGCTATATTAGCAGTAGTTATTTAGTGATTTATTGTTACATGTTTTTAGAGGATTGCGTTGTTTTACTTGATTTTATGGATTATTATTTTATTTAAAAAATCTATTTGCTTTGTTGTAAACCTTCCTATGGCTTGCGCAAAGGGTGGCATATAAAAAAAAGATACAAATTAATAAATAAAACACTTCAGCAGTAAAAGCTTGATAGAGAAGGACAGAGAGAAATATGAACTATAAATGTTAACTGGAAAAGGCTGGTTTAGCAGCTGTGTGTACCTTTTCTGTATGAATGAGAGAGAGAGAGAGAGAGCCCTGATTACGAAATGCTAGATAGCAGCTGTGATGCACTTTGGAGAAGGATTACCAGATGGTTAAGTGATTAACTTGTCTCCATGGAGATCACAGAAATAAAACCAAATCTCAGAGATGTAAGGAACATGCTAGGCTTAGATATTTTTTAAAATGTATATATGTAAAATAACACATATATGTGCCAGGTTTGTTTATATGCCTATTCAAGAAAAGTATGGCTGCTTGTTTGACATACTGAAGACAGCTTCAGTAAACACTCCTGTCACAAACCTGTGCTCTTCCATTTGGAAGTATGATGCATGTTATCATGGGGGGGGGGGAGTTTTGCAAGGGGTGGGTGATACTTCGGTAACAGATTGTTCCTCTAGCAATACAAAATGCTGAATTGTACAGATGGGGTGCTTAAGTGTGTTGTCCTAACAGAATGTTAAAGATTATGTGAAGGTTAAAAATAAATATATACATACTAACTCCCCCCCACCACCACTAATATTCACTTAACCCTATAGCAGCAACAGGGACGCGGGTGGCGCTAGGGACGCGGGTGGCGCTGTGGGTAAAACCTCAGTGCCTAGGACTTGCCGATCGTATGGTCGGCGGTTCGAATCCACGCGGCGGGGTCCCAGCTCCTGCCCACCTAGCAGTTTGAAAGCACCCCTAAGTGCAAGTAGATAAATAGGTACCGCTTTATAGCGGGAAGGTAAACAGCGTTTCCGTGTGCTGCGCTGGTGCTGGCTCGCCAGAGCAGCTTCGTCACGCTGGCCACGTGACCCGGAAGTGTCTCCGGACAGCGCTGGCCCCCGGCCTCTTAAGTGAGATGGGTGCACAACCCTAGAGTCGGACACGACTGGCCCGTACGGGCAGGGGTACCTTTACCTTTACCTTTATAGCAGCAACAAAAGAGAACAGCTCATTTCTGATCTGAATTCAAAGTGCTGGTTTTTGAAATGGCAGCTGCTATTGTACTTTAAAGACCTGCATAGTCTGGTTCCAGGACAGAGCTGGACTGCACACTTGCAAACGGGAATAAGCTGTTGTGGGTCCCTCACACATCCCACAATCAAGCATGAGCTACAAATCTATTCTATTGGCTATAACAGAATTTGTTTTTCAAGCCAAACTTCAGTGAAGGGGGTGGGAGAACAGGAGGAGACCCCTTTGGGAGGCAGGGAAGGCACAATTGCAGGGGCACTCGTGGGCACCATGTTGACAACGTCTGTTGAATGCTGCTGCTTTTGGAGGTAAGGCACACAATATTTTCTGCGGCGACACTATCCTAAGTGGAGACCTGTGCCTAGACAGGTATATTTGCCCCCTGATTGAATCTGCTCAAATACTGTAGCATAAACATTATTCTTTAGGAAGACATTTGTTTAGCTGGGCTGTTGCTGGTGCTATGCTAATAGGCCACTTCATTTCATTTTCTGTTTGGTTTCTGTGGCCTGAATAGCTGAAGTCCTCTTCATTGTATCTATTATAACATTGACCACCATCAGAATCCTGATACTGAGCGGATTGGTGAGATAATCGTTTTACAATACAATATGTGAATATGTAAGTGGCCGGCCATCCTCTGGAGGCTTAAATCATCATGATGGAAGGTGCAGGTTGGTGTTTGGAGGAGACTCTGGAGCTTGGAGGAAGGTATTATATTTGTCAGTCCACTTTTTGGGGGGTGGGAAGAGGGAGCAATATCCAATGTTAGGCACACTCGAGTTAAAAATAGAACCTGACTAATGGTGCTTTAAAAATAATATCTGAAGGGCTGCCTACTTCTACATGGCCCACTCTTTGAGCTCAAAACAGATACATCAGTAATCATAAAAATTAGTAGTTGTGTGTGTGCTTCAAAAAGTAAAGGGCAGTCAGGCGGTTGATCTAGACTGCGACCATGGCAGTGTGGCGTGGGGACTGTTTGCCACTGCCATGGTTCAAATCTGGGTTGAAGATTGGGTTGAATAGCAGTTGCTATTAAAACAAAAGAGGCAATCTTGCCATTGCCTATTCTGTTGTGATTATCCTTCCAGCGTGGTATAGAGAGCCAGCGTGGTGTAGTGGTTAGGAGCGGTGGACTCGTAATCTGGTGAACCGGGTTCGCTTCCCCGCTCCTCCACATGCAGCTGCTGGGTGACCTTGGGCTAGTCACACTTCTCTGAAGTCTCTCAGCCTCACTCACCTAACAGAGTGTTTGTTGTGGGGAAGGAAGGGAAAGGAGAATGTTAGCCGCTTTGAGACTCCTTAGGGTAGTGATAAAGTGGGATATCAAATCCAAACTCTTCTTCTTCCACCTGTGCGTGGCCCTTTGAGGTCATGCTCCAAGTGACATTCACTTTCAGAATATTGTTAGGTGCAGATAGAAACGGGGCCTTTTTTGTTGTTGGCAGTGCCCTATTTGTTCATGAAATGTCCTTCCCAGAGTAACTCCCCCGCTTTTTTTAATGGTTGGTCTACACCTTTTTCTATGTTCCTCGTGCATTTAATAACTGATAAGTGTCAGCTCTCCTGTCTGTCTGTTTTAAATGCTACTCTCTTTGGCTGTTTTAATTTTTATGTAGGTTTGTCGTGATGTGCACTGCTTCAGTTTTTTATGTCTGGATTTTGTTGTTCTTTCGTAAGCTGCCTTGAAGGCCCCTTTTGAAGCAGAAAGGTGAAATATAAATAGATAAAGGTTGTAGAGCATCCTGCTGCAAATGTCAGTAATTTTATTTTTGCCCTCTGAAATTTATTTATTTATTATCATTTTAAAAAAACCTTCAAGGCAAGGATCACACATGCATAAAATGCTATAATGTGTCAGTATATTTTTCTTAATCTCTTGTTTCACAGGCATTCTATCTGTATAGTGTAGAAGCTCTAACTTGTATGCATTCCCCTGCCCCAAATATTATAATGGTATTTATATGCAGCCTGTTACACTCCATCTCATGGCAGTGTACAAATTAAAAGTGCCAAAAGAATAAAATCACAGTAATAAAAATAAAATGCAACTGATAACCAATAACCCAAGGGCATAATTAATTAATACGTGGCACCTATAGCACAAAATGATCTTGAAACTTTGTACTCTGACATATCCTATCTGAATAAAAAATGCTATTACTGCATACACTTCTGTTTTCCTTTTGTTATTCTTCCCCTGTTTTTCCAATATTGTTGCCCTGTTCTTTCCAACAATGCTTCAAGAACTTTCAGTCCTGCATTTGCTTCTACAAAAAACATATGTTTCATTCCTGTTCAAAGATCATTACTTTTGCCTAGCCTAGTCTGATTAGTTGTACTGTGTCACAGTGTGTGATCAAGCCATGTAGAGGATAGATCTATCAATTGCCATAAGCAGCGATTGATAATGAAACCTTGACATTCAGACACAGTATACCCCTGAATACTAGTTGCTTGCATAGGTAGGAGAGAGTGAGGGAGTGCATCTTCCTGCTCTGAATTGGGCATCCTAGAAATATATATTTGGCCACTGTGAGAAACAAGGTGTTGGACTAAATGGACCCACCTGGCAGGGCTCTTCTGATTTCTTTTGTTGTTTATTGTAAACTTAATGACCATTAAGTTTATTGGGCAATCTTGTACAAGTCACTTTTTCACACCTAATGTATTTCACAGGGCTGTTGGAAGGATAGACATGGTAATGGGAATAGTTAAAGGGAATAGTTGAAGTTGATACCTAGTACATTACAGAGCACCTTTTCTTTCATGAACCTGCCTTAACTGTTGCCTTCTTCCAGCCAGTTTATTGTGGTTTGATGGTCTTTGTTAGTTCAATGTTTTAATGATGATCATAGTGATGTACGTACTTGCAGAAGCAGGGTACTGCTTGTTTGGTGTAAAGAGCACTTTCTAGTATGTTTATTGTATGCCTTTGTGTTTTAGATTTTTATTTATTTATGGTGTATTGTTTTTAATATTCGGTTGGAAGCCGCCCAGAGTGGCTGGGTATAAATAATAAATAATAAATTATTATTATTATTATTATTATTATTATTATTATTATTATTACTACTATTATTATTATTATGTCACCTTCAGACTTTCGTGGTGAGGCAGTTTCCTGCTAATGATTAGGAGAAGCTTCCTGACAGTGAGAGCTGTTCAGCAGTGAAACATTCTGCCCCAGGAAGTGGTGATCTCTCCTTCACTTGGAGGCATTTAAGCAGAAGCTGGACAGCCGCCTGTCAGGTATGCTGTACCTGCAAACTGCACTGAAGATCTGGTTGGACTACATAGCCTACAAGATAACCAGAGAACTTTGCTTCAACAAGATGTAGTAATGGCAACCAACGTAGACAACTTTAGAAAGGAGTTAGATGAATTCATGGATGTAAGGCTACAGCTCATGGTAGCTATATTACCAGTACCTCCAGGGGTGTTGCCAGGTCTCTGAATAACTTGTAGGTAACTTGCATGTGTTGAAGGATGAAGGAGAGGAGAGGTTTTTTCCCCCTGTTCCAGGAATCTAGTTGACTGTGGTCTTTAGATCTGTAAGCAAAACTACGTCATTTTTCTTTTTTTTAGGTCCTCTACCCAATAACCTAGTGGCATTGTTCTCAGTACATATCACAATAAACTATTTACGTGAGTGCGACCTTTGTTTGAAAAGGTTAACTTTTTATTTTTACACCAGACTCTAATTTCAGTCTCCTCATGCTAAAAATATTGCTTTCCGCACAGCACTAAATCAGCACTTGCAGGAGATAATTGAAGCTTTTTTGTCCTGGATATACTTCTGCAAATATGTTGTCTTTCTAGTATTCATAATCAGATTGGGTAAGTGAAGAGAGAGGGGGGAAATAGTACACAAAAAATCGAATTGTGAAATGTGACTATTAGTGCACAATGATCCACTGAGGATGAGAAATGAAAAGGGGAAGCCAAAAGCTGCTTGATATGGTGGGTTTTTTGTCCTATTCCAGATACCTAAAGAAAAAATCAGAACCTTGTTAAAGTTCATGTTGTTTCCCACCACAAATGCAGGCCCCAAATATCATCACTTGTTGATGAAAGTTGTTCCATTGATGAAAATGAGAAAGCAAAAATGCTTGTGTACTAAAAGAAGTTTCATTTTAATTTGTTTGGGGGAAATCAAATATTCGTTTTTTATATATATATATGTGAAAGCAATCAGGTTTTTTAAGAAAGGCTGTGGCCTCATTCTACAAATCCTTTTTGCTTGCTACCAGCCGCTTGCATACATCTATCAATTCCATGTCATTTCATGCAAACCGTTCATTGCATGACATTTCGCCCGCAAGTAGTTCCTAGCAAACTTTGTGTGTCCCCAGTAGCATAAACAGTGAGAGGCTGGACTCATGATTTCAAATTCAAGAAATCCAGTTACAGCGCTTTGTGTTTTGTTTGTTATGAATTGATGATGGGAGGGGCAATGTCACTTGATCAAGGTTTTTGAAAATGAACCCTCTCCTCCCTCAAGAAAATATTTGAAACTATGGCTAGAAACAATAAGCAAGCGACCTTTCCCCAAATCTGGTATGAAATGGTAGTTAATGATGGGAGAATGGTCTCTGGGAGATGCCCCAGAGTACTGGCTGAACTACAATAAGATGTTTACTGTTCTGGAAGCATAACACAACTTGGATTTATTTCAGTGCATCAACAAAAAAACCTCCTGGATGGTATTAGAAGCCAAATACATAATATGGAAACTATGTATTTTGGAGCTGCATTCAACGGAGCTAACAAAGTGGATTGGCTCAGGCATCTACTAGATGACTCCTTCCATTGGTTGTTAGATTGCTGCCTTACAGAGGCAACCTCATGCTTCTGCGCAACAGTAGTTCCTCTGCTTTTATATCTGCATTTCTGTCCCTTTATGGCAGAGATGTGGAATCTGGGACCCTCCAGATGTGCTGCACCTCATCTCCCCTCAGCAGCACAAAGGTGGTGCAGGTGCTTCTCCTGCACAGGGCGCCAAGTTGAGGGGGTTCATCATCACCACCATCTATATATGGGTACCTACCGAGAAGCTCCATTAAAAAAGCAGCTGTACCAAAAGGAATTATTGTGAAAATAAGAAATATTTTCAGGGGGGCACACCAGATTTTGTCCTCGTTCAGGTCACCATATTACCAAAATCCACCACTTGCTGTCAGCCCCAGCTAGCATGGCTAGTGATCATGGATGATGGGAGTTGTGGCCCAACACCATAGGGCAACCTATCCCTGCTTTAAAGAAACTAATGATGACTTCAAAGGGGGAGGGCAGGTATGAAGGTTCCATTGCAGAAGATTATAGGGTATAGGCATGATGTAAGAAAGCAGAAATGAAGCAGTCAGTGCCAACATCAATTAGGTTTGTGCACCTCTGGTGAGGAAGGCAGCATGCTTCTGTATACCAGTTTGTTGGGAATCACAGGTAGGGAGGATATTGTTTTGCTCTCGTCCTGTTTGCCAGCTTCCCTGAATCTGCTTTAAATGTAAGGTGCAGATGGAGCCTACAGTCCGCATATCGAAAAACACGCAGAGAGAATAAAGCGGTTGAGCGCAGTAGAGTAATGAGAATGAAGCGGCTCTGGTTCTATTGGCTCAACTTGTCACTAATCTGGTACAAAATTGTTAACATAGCAAAGCTGCTTAAATAGAAAATGCAAGCTTAACACAAAAACACTGTGTGATTTAGATGTATTAGTACAGCTATTGGCCTCGGGCAGCCCAGCACTAACAAACCACAACAAACTGATCCTTAAGTGTAATAGGATTTGGGGTTAGGGTTATTTGGACTAATTTTCTTTGACTTTTAGTTTCTGGGTCTTTGGGGAAAACTCTCTCTCTCTCTCTCTCTCTCTCTCTGACTCTGACACACACACACACACACACACACACACACACACACACAACTAATGGGCAGTTTTACAACTTCTGCATCACTTGTTAACTGCATTCATAGCCACTTAAAAGTACCTTTTGACATGATGTACAGTGTATTTCTCCTCATTTTGAATGAGGCAATTGCTGGAGGACAGCATTCTTCACTTAAAATACTTGAAAATCCTTCCCCAATCAGTCTGAAGTCCTTCCATCAGGCTGGCTCACACGTACATACACATTCTTCAGTGGCCACAATATCAAGTGATGGTGATTTTTATGTGTGAATGAGACAGATAAAGCATCCATGTCACCCAGTATCCAAAACAGTACTTTGAAATGGTCAATTTATACCAGAGGTGGTTAGCCTGTGAACTTCCAGCTGTTGCTGAATGGTAGCGCCCATCATCATGTTTTCTGCTGCTCAGAGGGTAGGACCTGAATCAATGGATTCAAATTATAGGAAAGGAGATTCCGACTAAACATTAGGAAGAACTTTATGACGGTAACAGCTGTTTGACAGCAGAATGGACTAGACTTGGCCTTTCTGCAACCCTTGAATGGTACATTTTGGGGCTTTCCACTGGCCCCCAATGGCAGGGAAACCGCCAGTAGGATGCCTGCCCACTCTTATGTTGGCTGGCTGAACTAGGGGAACTGGATGGAAGGTGACACTTTTGCCTAATCCAAGACAAGCAACTCAGCATAAGGGGAATTTAGAGTGTTTTGCCTGTCTTTAATGTGCTACAAAAACTTCTGTCTTGCCCTTACTTTTAGAGCATTAATAGAATCCCCTGGACTTAGCGAGTCCAACCCTGGAATTTCCACATGAGTTCCTATTCTGAACATGCCTCTTCTTAGGAAGAGCAGTGATTCATGCAGGAACCAAGTGGTGACCCCCCCTCTGAATATGCAGAATTCTACTGAATTTCAGGCTGAAACATCAGGGCCGCATTTGCTTCTGGTCAGCCTTACGGGAGCCACATGCCAGTGGTGGATTTATACAGTAGGCTAGTTTTCACACACACCTACTTCTCTATCTTCCGCCTGTCCAGGGAAGATTCATTACCAGAGCTCAAGGCATCCAGGCAAAAAAATACTCAAGGAGCATGCTCAGCAGGGCTAAGGAGGAATGTGGGCTAGGGAGAGGGAGCATTGAGATTGTCCCAAGGGGGTTTGAGTGCTGCATTTCCCTGAGGGTCCCTGCCCCTGTTTTTCTGTGCATGTGTGTCTTCTTCTGAAGTGAATTGCCCATGCAATGCAAAGACATGGCAGAATTGATAGACTGATGGAGATTGATAGAAAAGGGGTGAAGCCAGAGCTGTGAATCGTATCATACGCAGACTCCTCTGTGGGTCTGTGCTTTGGCCATTCCAGAGCCTCTCAGTTTGTTCTATCTCACTATCTAGGCTAGCTAGCAGTTCAAAATTTATAAAAATCACATTGTTGGACTGGAACTGTGGAAGTTATCTAGTCTAACAAGCTACTCTGTACAGTTTGCAATGTTACAGCATCCCTGGCAGGTGGCCACCCAGCTTCTGCTAACAGCGAAGGAGAGCCCAACGCCTCCTGGGGCAGACTGTTCCACCTTTGAATAGCTCTTGTTGTTAAGAAGTTTCCCCTCATCTTATGCTGAAATCCGCTTCGCTGCCATTTCTGCCCATTGGCTTTTACAGCCCTGCACTGTAGAGCAACAGGGCAGAAGTCTGTTTCCTTTTTCTGTATGATGGCTCTTCTGATAGTAGAAGGCAACTTTCAAGTTCCCCCTTAATCTTCTCTTCTCCCAGCTAAGCACATACAGCACTTTCAAACGTGTTCCTCAAAACCCCTCATCTTCCGGCTGCCCTCTTCTCTTGAAATACTAGTTTGCTCCCACAAAGTTTGGGAATTGTTGTTTTAACCTCTTGACTAACTTTATGGCCTGATCTTCAGTTTTGGACTAGATTGCACTGGCAGAATGGTATGATTGAATAAAGAGCAATGGTGTTGGGAGTGTGTGTGTTTAAATTTGGGAGGAGGAGGGAGAATTGCACATAGCATCAGGCGCAAGGAGGTCAGTAAGGAATGTAGTCATTGCAGGGTTGGGGCAATTGAAGAACGCAATAAGTAGACAAGTGGAGCATGCACTTTACGGCTTTCTGATTTAGAAAGTGGGGGTTTTTTTCCTCATTACAGTACTTCCTAAGTACTTGCTCTTTAAGTCAGACAGTTGTTGCCATTATGATGTGGGTTTGTAGCTTTGTAAAACAAGAGTTTGTTTGAAGATTCTGTATCAGGCCTTTACTTATTTGATCAAGAACTTAGTGACACCTGGTGGCAGTCTTCATATTGCCTCACAGAAAGATTGTTCAGCAAATTATATGTACTGTGGGCTGACCCACTTTTGCTAATAGATTCCTTTTTAACCTTGCTTCTGTGAAAATCAGCTTGTTTCCCTAATGAAAGCGTGCTAACTGTAGATAACAGCAATATGCTGCTATGGTGATACCAGCTGTCCTCATTTTTTTGTCAAGATGATCCAGAAAATATTCTGCATATTGAATGCAGAATTTTCTCTCTTAGAAAATTTCCTGATTTATTTTAAAAATAAAAGAATGTACGCAACATACAGGAGTCCTTTCATATGATATGGGATGTTTTTATTGCATATACATTACATGGAACATTTAAAATAAATCCAGCACTACAGCATTTGGCAAAAATAGATGCTTATTCTATGTGAAGCTGGAGTCATTTAATAGGCTGTGAGCTTTCTCTGTGATCTGGAATGGAAGAATGAGAAGAAATTGTCTATTTCCTATTTACAAATGAGAGCATATATTCTTGTGCTGTTTTTGTTTTGTTGTATTTTTGAGCACACAAGTTGATTTTTCCTTTGCTGAAAAATGTCTACACACAAACAAACAAACAAACAAATCTGAAAATAGTGGAATAGGAATGTTGGCTGGCAACTGCTATAAATAGCTCATTCCATGTTTATGATTGGCCAGGACCCTTTATACATGCATAGCTTTTGCACCCCAAACCCCATAACTAAATAGTTGGGAACTCTTTAAAGGGGTGCAGCTTTTACAGAGGATTGACAGCTTAAGGTCAGTATTTGGAAATCTAGAAACTTAAGTTGCATCTTGCTTTTGGCTAATGCGGCAAACACATCCTGTTATTATCTATTTGCCTTCTGAAAATTCTTTACCGCCAGGAAACAGTGATGCTTAATTTTGCCAGTTAATGAAGAGTAGGTGTGGAAATCAGTAAGGAACATGTGGATTGGAGTGGATGAATAAAATTAATAAGTAATAAGGCTGGCAAGGGGACACACTCACTTTTAAATTTTGGTCGCGCGCATGCACACACACACCAGAGGTGTGGCCTGCTGCCCAGAAAATGTTACCCTTTCTCAGTGGCTGCCCTGGAATGGGCACAATTATTGCACTGGAGCTTTTGGACTGGAACAGGATCCATAAATGTTATTCTTTCATGAATTACACCTTGTGTTATTCAACCAGCAATCCTGTGCTGTAGGGGTGCCTTGTACTTAGCTCTTTGCCCTGCTGCAGAGATATCTGCACCTTGTTCTATAAACCACATTCAGTTATTTTGTTGTTAAGTTATTGTGATTAAAAGCATCTCTCTAGCCTGCACCTGACTCAATCTCTCACTTAGCTTTCCTTAAGAATTGAATTGACTTTGCTGACAAACACCCGCTCTACTCAGCTATCTCCCCACCCCCCAAAAAAAATTACTCTATGCATGGGTTCTGTGTATTCTACAATATGGAATTGTGTATTTCCACAAGTTTTTTAAGTTTAAATATGTAGTATAATCTAAGTCATGGGTTGTAGTCTGCGAAGGACAGCAGGACCAGCATCATTCTGCCCTGAAAATGTACCAAAAGTGATGGGGGTGGGTGGATAGGCACTTGAAAGGAGTGGAGAGGATTAGGAGACAGAAAAGCAGAGTGAGATGAAGAAGGACGAAGCAGCGAGAAAGAGTGAGTGAGTCAATACAAGGGAACAATGGTGAGCAAAATGGACCTGGAGTGATGGTGGAAGGAGTCACTTGAAACACAAACGAATCGCCCAGCTTCTAGCACAGTGCATTGCAGTTCCCACAAGAGGCAGAAAAATCATCATGCTGTCCCTCCAAGACCCTCAGCAGTTTTCAAGTGATTTGTAGGAGAGGAAAGTGAACGCCTGGCTCTTTCACTGCAATGTTTACTAAGCTGCTGCTGTATCAGTGAACAGGGTTAACTGCAAATGGGAAATAAATTGTCAGCAGGAACAGCTAGCTACCCAAAAGAAGAACCCCCCCCCAAAAAAAAACATTTAAAAATTGTGCAGGGGGGTGCCAAAGGGTGTGATGCACACAGGCACCATGTTCAGAAACCCAAGGGCAAAGTCTTCCGCTGGCTATCTTGGAATTTAACAAGGTATGGTGATTGTAGGAGATTATTAAAGTTACAGACATTGCGGAATAAGGATTCTGCATATCCAATGTATTTTATTCCCCAGATTTCAAAAGCAGGTGACATTACTGAGCTGTGTTGTTCTGGAGTAATACAAGGAAATAAGAGTGCTCTTAGAAACAAATTGAGAATTTTAAAATATATATTTACCCCCTTAACAGGGGCAGTGCTTTCAGAAGTGCTGCATATTCCCAAGCAAATTGCTTTGTTGTGATCATCTTACCATTTGAAGAAGAATAAGAAGAGGAGGAGTTCGGATTTGATATCCCACTTTATCACTACCCTAAGGAGTCTCAAAGTGGCTAACAATCTCCTTTTCCCTTCCTCCCCCACAATAAACACTCTGTGAGGTGAGTGAGGCTGAAAGACTTCAAAGAAGTGTGACTAGCCCAAGGTCACCCAGCAGCTGCATGTGGAGGAGCAGAGACCTGAACCCGGTTCACCGGATTACGAGTCCACCGCTCTTAACCACTACACCACACTGGCACTCTATTTGAGAACAAAAATGCATTGGTGGGCGCTCAGGCTTTAAGCCCTCGTCCTATTTTTTGCTCTGCCCCCCCCCCCCGGCATTAAAAAGATGAGCTGTCCTGTTTTGATAGGGATATTTAATAGGAACATTTTAGTTTGCTGATTTTTAATCATCTCCAGAAAATGTGTGAACAGATTGCAGTTTTGCTGAATACATTTGAAAATATTTGGCTAGTACCTTTTCAAATAATTTATTGTCCTGTTTTGATCTTACATTATATTCATAACCTCCTACATATGATGAAGGCTACCACACGTGCGCGCGCACACACACACTGATACAGCCTCTCTCTCTCTCTCTCTCTCTCTCTCTCTCTCTCTCACACACACACACACACACACACGAAGATACATTTTCACAGCCATCTGAAATAGAAAGTGACAGCCGTGGAAAAGCAACATGTCATACAACAAAATGTTCACTTTTGCTAACACTTACGATTTTTTTTGTTAAAAATCACAGCTTCTGCAATAATTCTCCAACCCTTTCGAAACCTTAGACCCTGAAGCCGTACTGTAACTGAACAAACAAAAGTTTGCAGTTTTTGAGGTCTATATATAAAGTTTGAGTCAACAGTCAGAGGATTCTCCGTCTTAAGTTTCAGACACTCCAAGGTACATAATGAGTAACGAACAGAAATCATTATGTTCCCAGTTGTGGTTTGGGGGCATCATTTATTGAACAAAGTGTGACACATACACTGCCAATTAATTCCTATCTTCATGTTAAAACTGTCCATCTTAATCAGTTTTTAACCCAATCCACAAATGCTTGCAACTGTGAACGTAAAGAAGAGCTTTGCATGGTAAGGTCCTGAACCCTCCCCCATTGTAGAATAAAGAGACTTGACACCAGAATTTGGGTTAACGAGCTGAAAAAAGGCCACAACTTTATTGACTACAGAATGTGAGTGGTATTGGAACCAATAACTATATCTGACTCCTGTCCACCTGCCGGGAGTCTAATAAGGGTTAACCACCAATAGCGGGAGCCTTGTTGATGCACATTAACGAGGAATTCCCCCAGGATCACCGATAGGGGTCGTGCTATGGCCCTGGCCCCCATCTGGGCTTCGGACAGAGGACACGCCCCCCCCGATTCCTTTAATGGAATACCATTGAAACAGGAGGGGTAGGTGATGACCGCCACCTTCCCTCACCTCCCACCAAATACTCCAATGTCTAACCGCCAAACCTTACAAAGTTGTGACAATTTGCTATGAGGTAGGTGAAAAACCAAGTGTCTGGTGCCAATTTGCCAAGTGGAAAAAAATCCTACCAGGCCCCTTCAACAGGTGACCAACTGAAGTCCATAGCAAGGTCAAAGGATAATGACCTAACCTTAGGGAGGGAGGGAGAACTCTGCAAGCGGGAGCGAGGTAAAAGAGGGAGCCTGGCCGCGGCTTGTTCAAATGGGCTAAGTCACGCCCCCCTCGGCTGATTGGACTGGCCAATTTGAAGTGATGCAGCTAGGAACTCCCTGTGACGCGGAGCTACCTAAGCCCGGCGTGACGGGTCGGGCTCATGATCTGCCTGCAACATCGACTCCATGCGAGGGGAATCGGCTTTGCAGGATCAGAACAAAGGCCTATCTAGTCCAACATCCTGTTTCTCACGAAAGCCAGCCAGATACTCATGGGAAACCCACAAGCAGAGCATGAGCACAATTGCCCTTTACTGCTGTTGTCCCCCAGCAATTGGTGCTTAGGAGCATGCTTCCATCATAGCATTTAGTCATTATGGCCAACAGCCATTTAGAGCCTTGTCTATACACAAATTTGTCTCATTCCCTATTAAAGTCACCCAACTCCTCAGCATTTCAGGTAGGGCTGGGAATATTCTCAGTCTGAAACCATGGCAAGCCATTGCCAGCCATTGTGGATAGTACTGAGGTGATTCAGTATAAAGCTATGTTCCTAATCACATTTATTTACATATGTATATGTGTATGTGTATATATATATATATATATATATATATATATATATATATATATATATATATATATATTTACAAAAATTCAACAAGGCAGTGCATACTGTACAGAAGTTGTGACAACAATAACAAATACCAGTAAAACATCTGTTAAATACTGCTTGGTCAAAAGAAAATTCACATCTCAAAGCCCTGTCTGTATAACACAGTTTTTGAGTGATTACTTCAATAAGGCAGGCCTGGTACCTGACAAATCTCTACTGGCATGAAATTCCACAGGGCAGAACCTGCCACACCTTAACATCTTGTGTTAGTGAATTCCATAGTTTAACGAAGCACCATGTGAAGAAGTTCTTCTTGCACTGTTCGGCTTTGTTGGACGACCTTGGGTTCTAGTATTGTGATAGAGAGGGGGATGAAAACTCTCTATCTGGTTTCTCCTCAGTATGCATGATTTTGTAAACCTCTATATCAGTGGCATGATGAATCTAAACTGGCACCAGTCCTAATTATCTGCATCTGTGGATTGTCACAAACACTCATCCGGGGATTACTTGGATATTTAACATTAGTACTGATCACAGATCATTATCATTAACACTTAATTGCCCTTCTCTGGTCTTTTAAATATTATAGAGCAGAAGGCTATTATCTTTTAGCTGTTGCCTCCTGGTTCAGCAGTTTGCAAACTTAACCATTCTGCATTCATAGGAAATGAGGTGTATGCATATGGTGGTGTTTGTGTTGTATTTAGCCACAGTGATTTAACTGTGTGCTATCCTCCTTAAGAATTTTTAATTTAATTTAATTTAATTTAATTTAATTTAATTTAATTTATTGTTTGTACTTGGCCACTTACCCAGTGACTGGGACCATGGTAGGTTATAGTTAAAACAGGTACAGCCAGATTCTTTCATCCCCATTTCTCTAGATTAGGAGAAACCCTGCTGCTAGGTTGTGTTTTTTATAGCCCTGCCAGAGAGCTGTACAAAAGCCTGTTAGTTACCAACACCTGTTACCAATGCCAGCATTCAAGAAACAACAGGAAACACCTCACTGGTGTGATTTGAAAAGGGGGGTTACAGCAGAGCTGTCAACGTTTCCCTTTTTTTAAGGGAAATTCCCTTATTCCGAATAGGATTCCTCGCAAGAAAAGGGAAAAGTTGACAGCCATGGGTTACAGGCAGCCAGATGCAGGAAACCTGAAATATACCCCCCCACACACCTCTCCACCTCCTCCCCATTCAAGCTCAGGATATTTCCCTAGTCAACTTGTTTTTTCTTTAAAAGCAATGCACCATTTGTTTTATTTTAAATGGCAAAATGCAGCATTTTTGGAGTCCACAACAGCAACGCAAGACTTATATAACTCAATATGCCTTACTAATGGTGTAATTTGCTCAGACATACAAAAACATCACCCAAATCACCTTTATTCACCTCATAGCTCAGGCTGTACACAGTGTTGGTACACACCTCTAATGCAAATACTCAGTGCTTCTCAGACACTCTGACCGGTGGATATTAAATGGCCAGAGTAGGCTACAGCACATTTAAAAACCATTAACACTGCTTTCTGGAAGCAACTAGTAAAGTCAGAGGGATCAGCTTTAGCTTCTTCACATGCAAGCGGATGGATTGCATGGCTGAAGTGAATAAAGAAGCAATTCCCAGGCTATTTATGGTGCACTTGCCTTGTGAAGGCAAAAGTGAAACTCTCTCTTTTCAAAGGCTGCAAATCCTGTACCCACTTAGCTAGGAGTATATCCCATTGAACTTAATGAGACTTAATTCTGAAAAGGCATGTGATAGGATAGCACCCCTATAGCAAGATCTGCCAGGATGAGCAGGGTTAGGATCCAGCAGATCTCCCCCTGGGCCAGGAGGATCCCTGTGGAGCTGTGCTCTGCTGTCCCTCATCCTTGGCACAGCCTGAGATATGCTGCCTGCATTACCATCCCACAAGCCAGATGAGCCAGGCATAGCAGACCCAAAGCTGGTGTGAGCTAGAAAAGTGGGCATTTTGTGGGTGAGGCTAGGGACCAGAGTGGGGAGGGGGGTTCTAGGCTAGATCCTAAGCCCATTCAGCTTTGTCACATGGTTGCTTTCCCTCTGCAAGGATTAGTCAGCAGTGGCCCTACTCCTGAATGGAGTTTGGATGTTTCCTCTGACTTAACTTAAGCCAGGCTTGCTTTTTATGCCAGTTCTTGTGCATAGGATTGCTCCCCAAGCCTGTTCATTCACTACTGCATTTGCTCCAATATCTAAGGGTGCATCCACCTAAAAAGACTTTGAAAACAAGCAAACAGTCCATGGGAAGTACAGGCAGATACCTGGAGAAGAAACCCAATTCCACTAGCATGGCAGCTGCTGATGTGCATGAGATACAAAATGCCATGCCTCTGCAAGATACTGTGGAAACAACCATATCCCTGACCTTAACCAAGTAGCTGATTAGGTGTCTTTTCTGAGACTATTGCAGGAAGTGGGCAAAGAAAATGGGTGCAGGCATGTTTGTCTTCATTATGCAAACATAAACTATTCCATTCATCCCAGCAGGCCAATTTAGCTAGGCCGTTACACCCAGAGTAAATCTTAGCTACAAAAGAGCACAATAAATTCTACTTTGTCATTGCATGTGCACAGCCTCTCCAGATTATGCTAATGCGGCTAGCACTTGGGGAGCTGGAAATATTCAATGTGAAAATCCTGTCTAAACATTTTCTGTTTATGTAAAATATCCAGATAAGGAAAACATTTGAATAAGGAATATTTTATTTGCTTTGCGTAACCTCCTGATGATGCTTCCATTTCCCCATATGGAGGAATACGTTGGTACTCTTTTCCCAGCCTCATAAACCTGAAAGGTCTGTTGTTGGAGTCACATCTGCAAGGAAGCAGTATGTGTCTGTGGCAACATGTATACTAAACCATCAAAGGGGTTAGGGCTTTAAAGTGTCATAGATTCATAGCATTGTAGAGTTGGAAGGATTCATAAGGGTCGTCTAGTCCTGCCCACTGCAATCCAGGACTTGAAAGCACCAAGCTTCTGGTTAACAGCCAGGCACACTGACCTGTTGTGCCTTATGTGGTGTTACATGTGGTGGTACAATTTGAGCTAATCTCACATGAGACCATCTTAAAATGTCCGTAACAAAGCAGTTTCCCTATGGCCTGTTCCTGGTTGCTTTGCAGCGCCCTCTGGTGTCATATTTTAATGACACATTATTAACAAGCAAAAGTGTCCACTATCTATGTTATGGAAATAATTCTTTAATGTTATCAGCCATGAGTGTATATCCACCTTGGTGTTGGGGATGGTATGGGATGGGACAAACTACGCATCATGTAAAAATACATGTAGTGAAGCCCCTCCCCTTTTAGAAACACCCAAAAGAGGTCTGTTGGACCTACCAGATATTTGAGAAATCCACAAGCTTTTAATGAAAAGCAGCCATAGGCAGCTGCAATTCTGAGAGGAAGAGTGGTAGGGAGGGTGAGGGGCTGCTTAATCCTTTCCCAGCAGCAGCAGCAGCAGCAGCAACAATTTATTTTTGTACCCTGAGCATCTGACTGGGTTACCCCAGCCACTCTGGGTGGCTTTCAACATAATATATAGAAACACAACAACAACACAACAGAACATCACACATTAAAAGCATCCCGATACAGGGCTGCCTTCAGGTGTCCACAGGTCGTATCATTATTTCTCTCTTTGACATCTGACAGGCTGGTGTTCCACAGGGTGATGTAATTACTGAGAAGGCCTTCTGCCTGGTTTCATGTAACTTCACTTCTTGCAATGAGGGAACCATCAGAAGGCCCTCAGAGCTGGACCCCAGTGTCTGATCTGAACAATGGGGGCGGAGGTGCTCCTTCAGGTATACAGCTGTTAAGGGCTTTAAAGTTACACACTACTACTTTGAATTGTGCTCAGAAAACATACTGGGAGCCAATGTAGGTCTTTTAGGAGTGGTGTTATATGATTCCAGTGGCTGCTCCCATCACCAGTCTAGCAGCTGCATTCTGAATTAAAGCCACCATTGCACTCAAAATTACCCCATCCCAATGAGGTTCCATATATTTCTTTCTGAGGCTTTTGCAACTAGCAGGTTCATTGCATCTATTGAACTTGAACCTCAGAAACAGCAGGTTCCAAGTTACTTACAAGCACACATCTGGAACTGTGAGTGAGGAAAGCTGTTTGGGAAAGCAATCTTTTGTGTGAAGGCAATGGGTGGGGAAGAAAGAGATGAGCAGACCTTCCCATCTTTCACTGAAAGCTGCAGCCTGCTGAGGCTGCTTTTTTTATAAAAAAAGAAGAAGCAAAACTGCCAGGACTTCATTGCACACGCTTCCACATAACATGTAGTTTGCTCCTCATTTGCCTGCTTTCCCACAGACTTCCTTAAAATGGTGGCTGACATGTGAGATTAATTACAGAGGCAATTAAGTGGCTGTCACACAGGAAGAGCTTGGTTCCATATGGTTTGTACGGGGGGAGTCCGTATGCAGCTCCTGAGACACTTGGGTGCTGCAAATTTTATCTTCTGTTGTTTTCAGATCACATGGTTGCAGGGCAACATTTGAAAATGTGCTGCCTGCGGCTAAAGTCTTTCTCCACCCAACTCCAAAAGGCTTGATACTGCCCTTCTAGAAAGGACACGAATAATAATCACAACATGACTGTCCACTGTAACTGTAGATCAGGCAGGTTCATAAAATGCTTACCGGCAATTAAAATACAAAGATTAAGTGTAGCATTCCAGCCAGCCTTTCTCAACCTGTGAGACCCCAGATGTTGTTGAACTACAACTCCCATCACCCCTAGCTAGCAAGGCCAGAGCTCAGGGATGATGGGAGTTGTAGTCCAACAACATCTGGGGACCCACAGTTTGAGAACCACTGATCCAGCTCATGTTGAGTTTTTCCCCATACGAAACTCCATGGATTGTGGTTGGCATAAACAATTGGAAGGTGAAAAAAATTGTTTAGTATTTCTATAGGGCTTCTGTGCTGCCTACAACAGCACCTGGGATTATGAGATAATGGCAGTTTTAAGACAAATTAAAAGTTTTAAAATGAAGCCCAGTGTAAGAATGGAAATCCAAGCAATTAATCACTCTGCACTGAAAGCCTGTGTGCGATAGAGGACAATGTTTTGGGCTTTTCCTTGGAGGACTTCAGTTCACGTTGCTGCTCAGCCACAAAATTTCCATTGGTTCTTACAAGATCTATTGATTCTAATCATTTGAGAGTAGCAAGGACTCTTGTACGGAATAGAGAGAGAATGTAAGACCAGTGGGACTTTTATTTCAAAGCCTTTGGAGGGGCATGTAACTAAGGAAGCCAGATCTACGCCAGATTTGACCAGTGGTCCAAAGGTTCCCACCTTGGTAATAAAACCTTACATGTTATCACTATTTATCAAAGGGTGTGTGTGGCTCAATTGCCCATCATGTTGCCTTGTTTTCAGTATTCTCATCTGCAGCTCGTCTTTAAGTTGGGACCGGTAGAGGCAGAGTAGTTCTGAGGATGAAAGAGAAACCTGGCTACTAAAAGTGACGTGTGAATGATTATGTAAACCCATATAGACCATGAATTCCCAAATCAAGCTCTGGAATTTGAGATTTCTTTTTTCTTTCTTAATTTTGAATATAGGAAGAAACATACAGTCAATCAACAGTTCCCCCCGTTTACCCACCCCCTCACGATTTCTTAATTTAGTGTGAGTTCACGTTCATGACACAGTGACTGCAACACTAAATGATGGCATGTGTCCAGGAGGCAGTGGTCATGGATCTGAGACAATCACTCCAACCAGAATACGTTTCAGTGGAGGAAGTTCACGCAGTCAACTATGGGTTAAAGAATGTTGAGTAACTGAATGGAGCAATATACCTTCCTTTGTGAATGGGCTCTTAGAATGCCAGCAGTTGAAACACGTTACTCATGTCAAGGGGCAAAACATGTTTCAAGGAGCTGTGGGGTTTTGCTTTTAGCCCTGCCCTAATGTTGCACAGTGTCCCCTGGCTGCTCCATCATGTTTTTCCATGTGCTGGATGAAGATTTGCTGAAAGTGCATTTGCTGTCCCTCTGAGTGGGAACCCTGAGCACACAAGGCTTGCGTATAACAGGGATTCCCCTAACATATGCAGGTGGAACGAGAAGGTTATGCACTAGCAAAAAATGCTCTCCCTCCACACACTGTCAATCAAGTGGAGGCTGATTTCCTAAAATGTATGCAGGCTTTGTGTTTAGTTTTGAGCCATGACCCTCCCAGTTATCTAGAGCAGGCATAGGCAAACTCAGCCCTCCAGATGTTTTGGGACTACAACTCCCATCATCCCTGACCACTGGTCCTGTTAGCTAGGGATGATGGGAGTTGTAGTCCCAAAACATCTGGAGGGCCAAGTTTGCCTGTGCCTGATCTAGCCATTAGCTGTTGGGGTAGGGTGTGTGGGGCTCTTTAAGTAACCTGTTCATTGGCTTTTGGGTGGGAACCTTCTTTGCCTGGACCAATTCTCTGTGCTTCACTTGGCATCTTTCTGCTGGGAGGAAGGATTTGGTTGTCTAATATTTATTCTGTAGCATCTCTTGAGGTAATCATGTGATTTGTTCAGTCAGACACAGAGCATTGTTCCTGCTGCTTAGTGATAACAAATGGCAGAGTTTTAATGTGCTGCAGATGTCTGTAATGGTGCATCGGGACATTGGAAAGCTTCCAAAGAAGGAAACCTTTTGCTACTGAGACTCATGTGCCACAGGCTGAAGCCGGAAATCAGCCCAGGCCGTAATTGCATACTTTGTCATGGTGTAAATGGATCTAAAGCCCTAAATCTCAATTTGAGGTGCATTGTGCAGATGTTGGTCATTAGGACATTTTATCTGCTGCTCTCGCATTCTTTTTTTGCTCCCGCCTCATTTGCAATCACTTTAAGCCGTGAGGGTACACATGGCTATGAATAATTTATTTTAAAGACATAATGACTGCCTGAGTTTGAAACACGGTTTTTTTTTCTTCCTGAAATGTTTTGATGTTATCAGTCGGCTTGCCATTTTGTTCATTAGGGCAAGTTCACCGTAATGTGAAATAAAGGTAATGTTAACTGCCTTGAAAAGACTCGCCGCATGGTAGGGCAAGGACTGAATTTACATGAGCATTTGGGGGTCGCTAAAAAGGAATGTAGGGCAAGCTGCTTTAAGCTGGAGCATCTGGAGTGCACTTTACTCAGCTGGGGGTCAGGAGCAAGAGTCTCGCAGGGCAATAGAATGGGATAATAGCACCAGTGGCAATGCGAGGATAATGGCAATTTGCAAATTACTATCTAATTGATTATAACAAATTAAGCCCTCTGCAGTCCTGGCACTACTTACTTTATGCCAGCAGCTTTGCACCTCTTACATCTTGCCCACCCCTTCCACTCTGCAGCACGAAACATTCGACAGGCTTTTCAGGAGATTCCTCACCTAAGTGACAGTCCCATTCTGGGGAAGAAGAACGGTTTGGGTGATGTAAATGAAAGTACTGGTGCCTGCTTCTCTGTCCGACTCAGGAATGGGGAACCTGGTGGCCTTCCAGCTGCTGTTGGACTCCAGTTCCCATCAGCCCCAGTCAGCAATCAGCGACAATAGGAATTGTAGTACAGCAACATTTGGAGGCTCACAGGTTCCTCACTAGTGGTCTGGCTCAATATATTCAGAGGCAATCCACATCTGATGCTGGAGGTTAAGCAGCCATCATAGACATTTGTCGTCTTATCCTCCATGTATATCTGCCTGATTCCCTTGTAAAGCTGTGCAAGTTGGTGGCCATCACTACATATTATGGAAGTGAAATCCATGCTTGTGCTGTGTGAATACATATTTTATTTTCTCTATACTAAATCTCCTTCAGTGTTCCACTTCAGTTGTGCAAGATGCCATGCCACCTCTTCTGAGCAAAAAGATTTGGAGCAACAGCTGGGTTTTTCTTCTTCTGCCGAAAGAAATGAAATATGTCAAGTGTTCTTAGCACAGCAGCTTAGGATGGTGGTAGTACCTGAAAAGGTTTCCTCGGGAATCAGAATAAAGTGGAAGGGATGGGTATCATCCCCTTCCTAGGGTTGCTTCTATTTGGCCTTCTGGGTAGGCTTATGGGCCAACAGAATTTCCTCCTAGGCTTTCTGAAGGCTGTCCCTGCCCCTCTCTTCCAACTCTCCCTCATCCCTGTTTCGCTGTCTCTCAGGATAAGGGCTGTGCATGTTTGACAAGCCACATCTAGGGACCCCAATTACTGTGAGACTAGAGGGCAAATATTTTACAAAGGAACCTTGCAATGCCAAGCGGCTGGCCCTATTGTGGAAGCAGCTCCCTTTCTGATGTTTCTCTCCCTGGCTCCCACCTTCCTCAGTTGGTGCAAAACCTCACCGTTTGCAATTTCCTCATCTCCCCACCTCACCAAATCTGACCTTCCTTTCTGCTTCCCCCATCACAGCTACATTGGTGCCTTAAATATATCAGCTCAGTATAAACGAGCACTTAAACCAGATACCAGCAGAGGGCATATTGCTTTCAAAATAGGCTATGTGCACCGGCACCTTTTAATTATAAAGGTTGTGCTTGTACGTATTCTAAGCTTCTTTGCAGAATATTGGAGAAGCAATTTCTTTACACTATAAAATGATTAGGCTTGAAAACTCATAAAAACGAATTCTGTTAAAATTAAAGGCATTTCACTGCTATACCATTCAAAGCAAATAGCACGGGAATGTAGCTGACACTTGCAAAAGGCTTTGTGAGAATTATGTGATTTTTGTTTTCCTGAATATGAAACAAGCACAGTGCTTATTTATGTGTTTATACATCATGTGCTGCCCACATTTTTAATATCTGGTATATAGACGTGAGACACATAAGAACACAAGAGCCTGCTGGATCAGTTGGAAGGGACCCCGAGGATCATCTAATCCAACCCTCTGCAATGTAGGAATATGCCACTGTCCCATATGGGGATCGAACCTGTGACCTTGGTATTATCAGCACCACACTCTAACCAACTGAGCTACCCAGTGGTGATGGTGCCAGTTTAGACTGTCTAGTCCAGAATCCTGTTCTCACCAGTGGCAAACCAGATGCCTGTGGGAAACCTGCAAGCAGGACCCAAGAGCAATAGCATTCTCCTGTCCTGTGGTTCCCGGCAACTGGTATTCAGGTGTATTACTGCCTCCAGCTGTGGAGGAAGAGCACAACTATCATGACTAGCAGCCACTGATGTGCTTATCTTCCATGAATTTGTCCAGTCCTTTTTTAAGGCCATCCTAGTTTCTGGTCATCTCTACCTCCTGTGGAAGGCTAGTTCCTTTGTTTAAGTATGTGCTGTGTGAAGAAGTACTGTTCTTTTATCTGCCAACATTCAGGTTCTTTGAATGTCCACAATTTCTAGTGTTATGATAAGAGGGAGAAAAACTTTTCTCTGTCCATTTTCTCCCTGCTATGCCATAATTGATCATGTCACCTCTTACTGACCTTGTCTCTAAACAAAACAGTCCCAAACGCTGCACCTAGATTCAGATATCTTAAGAATGCCCAGGACTGTCATGGAGATAACATAGCATTGCACCATGTTCAGCTCCTTAGAGCAGAGGTGACTAACCTGTGGCCCTTCAGATGTTGCTGGACTCCAGCTCCCATCAGCCCCAGCCACCAGAGCCAGTGCTCAGGAATGATGGAAGTTGTAGTGTAGCAACATTGGGGAGGGGGCAAAAGGGAGCCACCCCTGCCTAAAGGGAAAGGCAGGACGAAAACACAAGCAAACAATTGCTCTTAAACCTTGCTGCCTAGTGCAGTGGTACCTCTGGTTGCGAACGGGATCTGTTCCGGAGGCCCGTTCGCAACCTGAAAAGAATGCAACCCGCATCTGCATATGCACGGGTCACAATTCCCCGCTTCTGCGCATGCGTGCTATGTCATTTTTGTGTGTCTGCACATGTGCGAGCGGCAAAACCTGGAAGTAACCCTTTCCGGTGCTTCCGGGTTGCCGTGGGATGCAACCCGAAGCAAACGTAACATGAGGTATGACTGTACAGTACTTAAGAGGTCAGCACCTTCCCGAATAAGTCCAGTTTTAAAATCCAGTCCAATACAGTTCTCTGAGATCATCTGATGATTTGAATATAAGCATGTTCAGTTGGGTTCAATAATTTCAGATATGAATTCTTTTTACTAAATAGAAAAAAATCCACCATTTTCCAATATGGCAGCTTTTCTCCAAGTTTGATTTGAGGGTGGCCAGGGAGGGTGCAAGACTTTTTCCACAGCCATCAAATGAACATGCCCTACAATTTTCAGCTTATTGTTCCAAATGTCTGGGTTGGGCCTAAAATTTTGTTAATTGCAGTGGTTGAAAACACTCTTGCATTCACCACATGGAAGAAGGCCAACCCTGCTCCCTGCATAAGTGCTTTTCAAAACTTATTTATGTCCTTTATCCTTGCTGCACTTTAGTTGTTTTATTTCTATTCCTTTTTTGAGAAAGTTCTGAAACTAGACCTTCCCTGTGGTTCTGGGGCTATAGCTTAAGAACCTAATGATTCCGGTTTTTGACACTCAGTCACATACATTTATATTTTTAACAATATCGTTCTTTCTAAAGAATGGATTTTAATCTTATATGTTTTTAGTTTTGGATTTTTATAAAGTTGCATATCCCACCTTTCTAATACAAATGTGCTATTCAAGGCATCTTACGGTACTCAAAATCACAATGGGAAAATGCAGCAAGAACAGAAAGCAGAGACTTAAAGCACTTCAGCCTGGCAAATTAAAGGGTTGTAGGAACAAAAAGGTATTCACAGGCTGACGGAAAGCATTCAGAGAGGAAGCTTATCTGAACCTCATGGGGCAAGCTGTTCCACAACACTTGTGAAGCCACTGAGAAAGTCCTGTTCTGTGGACAGAACACAAGGCAGGACTCCCCCCCCCCCCCCAGATCTAGATGATAAGAGAAGATAAGCCCCTTCAAACGAGCTGGACCCAAGCCATTTAGGGCTTTAAAAGTAATAGTCAATGTTTGAATTGGACCTGGAAAGAACTTGTTAGCAAGTGGGCAAGTGATGCAGGGTGCATGTAATATGAACCCATGGGCAAGCTCTCACCACAATCCTTGTTGCTGGAATCACTGACGTTTCCGAAGAGTCCTTAAAGGTACAGTGGTACCTCGGGTTAAGTACTTAATTCATTCCAGAGGTCCATACTTAACCTGAAACTGTTCTTAACCTGAAGCACCACTTTAGCTAATGGGGCCTCCTGCTGCTGCTGCGCTGCCGGAGCATGATTTCTGTTCTCAACCTGAAGCAAAGTTCTTAACCTGAAGCACTATTTCTGGGTTAGCGGAGTATATAACCTGAAGCGTATGTAACCTGAAGCATATGTATCCTGAGGTACCACTGTAATCCAATAATCTAGTTCAGATGTAACTAAAGCATGTGTTACCATAGCTAGGTCAGACCTCCCCAGGAGCAGCCACAGCTGGGCAGAGGCACCCTTGCAACGTGGGCATCCCAGTCCAAAGCTGAATGCAGGACCCAGGACCCAGGACCCTGTGATTAAATCTTGTGCTGCACAAGAGCAATTGCCACCTGAGCAAAATGCCCAGGATGCTTTTGAGATGGAGAACAGACTCAAAGAAGCAACCGAAGGAGGAAATTTTATAGTAATAGGTGACTTCAGTTACCCTCACAGACTGGGTATGTTTTTATTGAAAATAATTAACAAAAGAAAGAGTCTTCATGGCACCTTAAAGTTATTGTGACATAAGCTTTCATGGATTATAAATTTGTTAGTCTTTAAGATGGCTAATAAGCATCTTAGTTGTTTTTCCTGCAACAGATTAATATGGCTACTCCTCTGGAAATTTTTTTAATGCCTTGGTGCTTTCACAAACAAAACAATAAAAGCAACCTTAATAGAATTTTAAATATATTTGATTCTATTGTTGTTTGGTTCTTCTTTTGTTGGCAGATGCTGCTCTCCTGATCTGCTATGTCTTCTGCAGCTCCGTCACCCCACCCACCCAGCTATGTGAGAAAGTAATATTCAACGTTGTGTGTCAGAGTAGGGTAGCCAGAGTGTTGACAGCACTTCAAGCCTTCGGCAAAGTTAAATGGGCAGACAGGGTTATCTGCTGCAAGCTTCCTGCCTTGCACTGTTTCTTCCCTAATGCCTTTGGTTAGCAGTTGGGTTCATTTAAAATAATATCAAAGGTTCTGTTTGAGTTAGCATAAATATTTGCATTTCGTAGTTTACATCAACTGAAAAGATCTGGAAGGTTGAATTATGCTGAATCCATTTTGCTTTCTGTGGAAGCAGTGGAATTTTAATTGACTTTACTTCTCATGTGCATTAACCCGTGAGTAATATCTGCTTACATGTAGAATTCGAGGAGAATAAAGCAAATCCGTTCCACCACATTAAAATTACTGCTGGCAGGAAGGCCTATTTTTGCCACATATTTTTCCCAAGACAACCCATTTATGAATTTTCACAAAGAGAGGATTATGCCTCCATTTTAAATGGCTTCAACACAACTAGATTTCGCTCCCCTCCCCCCCCCCAAAAAAAGTGTCAAAAAGGAAACTTAACTAAATGCACTCAGCCAATAACTCGTTTAATTTAAAAGAGAAAGTGCTGGAGGAGTAGCTATGTTAACCTGTTGCAGCAGAAGCAAAAAGAGATTTGTGTCACCTTAAAGGCTGACATATTTGTTGGGGCATAAGCTTTCATGGACCAGAACTCTCCAACATATGATCGGCAACTATACTTAGGCCCTACTGAGAGGCACCAAAAGGAATTGAACAACTTGCAGTAAACATTCCTATGGAAGTGTATGAACATATTTCAGGAACTAGCACTCCCGCCATGAGCCACCATCAAGAATCATCTGTTTTCTATCCAAACTCCACAGATGGGTACCCCATGGTCTCAGGCATTTACAGAATGGCATTGACAGAAGCAGTATCTGTCTTTGTTTGGTGGTGGGGGTGGCGAGGGGGGCATTAAGCAGATATTCTAACTGCACAAATTCCCTGACAGGCACTCCACAAAAAAGAAAAAGGCTGAGTTATTAGCTCCTTGCTTATACCCTGAAATAGGACTGGCCTCTCCATAGGAGTCTGCAGTTCCTATCCACTATACAGTAACCAACAGGATACTGCTGTAAATCCTAACTCAGTGGCATACCTGTGCAAGGACCATTGGATCATCTTGAAAGTTGTCTGTTCCTGCTGCCTCATTACACTTGCACTGCCGAACGTGGCACTTCTCTAACACTGGACTTCTGTTTACACCAGGATTGCCTGTTAGGCACAACTCAGCTGGTGGCTTGAACTGGTCCATGTTACACTCTAGTCAATAGGGCTTGCAGTGCAGACTTTCAGTACTGAATGTTGTTAGCTCACATAGGAAACAGGGTGACTCCTGGCACCATATGGTATTGTGAGTGAGGGGTGAGGGGCATATGAGCCTGAGCTTCTACAGCCACCGCCCACCATGAACCACCATTGGAAGGATTATTATTATTGTTATTTATATACCGCCCTATACCCGGAGGTCTCAGGGCGGTTCACAAAAAAGATTGCAATATATAAAATCAAAATAAAAACAATAACCCAATAACATCCACCCACCCAAAAAAAGAGCCACATTTTAAAAGGGTATAGGATGTCGGTCTGGTCACCAAAGGCCTGGTTAAAAAGGAACATTTTTGCCTGGCGCCTAAAGGTGTATAATGAAGGCGCCAGGCAAACTTCCAGATGGGGATTGGCAGCGACAGCAGATACCCGTATTTTTCCGTCTATAAGACACCGCCATGTATGATGACCCCTATTTTGGGGGACTCATATTTAAGAAAATGGGGAGAGATGTATCCATGTATAAGATGCCCCCTAATTTTTGACATTATTTTTTAGGGGGGAAAACCTAGTCTTATATATGGAAAAATACGGTATGTCCTATGATAATCTTACGATATACGATATATGATATCTTTATTGTCATTGTCCCATGCAGAACAATGAAATTGAAAATATATTATATCTTGTTAATTATGCTGTTTTAAATGTGCAATTTATATTTGACTTTCCTTAGTGTTGTTTTCTTTTGAAATGTTTAAGATAATTTTTGTTGTTGACTCAGCTGCATTAGAATAATATTTGTTCACAGCATGGTAGAGTTGGAAGGGACTGTGAGGGTCATCTACTGCAGCTCCCTGCAACACAGGAATCTTTTTGCTCAACATGGAGTTTGAACCCACAGCCCTGTGATTAAGAGTCTCATGCTCCAGTGACTGAACGGTCCCATTAAATGTGCATTCTGTAGTCAACCTCCTTTGTAACATTTTATTTCAAAATCTTTAAGATAATATTTTGGTTTCCTGCCGATTATGTTGCTTTGGATGTAAACTTTATATTTGACTTTCTTCCGTGATGTTTTATTCTGGATTGTTTTATTTGATGTTTTAATGTGTTGTAAACCACTTTAAGATTTTTTTTCCTTAAAAAGCAGTATAGAAATGAAATGAATAGTAATAAAAATGATAATACATATGAAGAAAAAGAAAAGAAAGCAGGCTAAACACTCCACCTGTTTCTGACTAAAATCACCCTTGTACAGTGTCAGACTTGTCTTGTGCTTGTCTTGTCAGCAAGGAAGTCCAAAAATTGTCTCCGGCATCTACAGTTGTTCTCTGCCCTTGAGTGTCTTCTTGCTCAGTTCTTCCAGTGGTTTGCTGCCGAATCGCACCAAACAGCAATCAGGTTTTCTGCATATTGCTGTTTGTTCCAGTTCAGTGGCAAAGAGTGGTTTTTTTCTGGGGGAAGGTGAGCAGTGTAAATGTAAAACTACTTGGACCCATACTTTCCAGGCACAGGATAAGCAGACTTGAACATATTTCAGGAACTCGCCCAATGTACTGATACTTAGCCTTACATGATTGAGGGTGCAGCCACACTTCTATTCACACACACATTTCAGCTCTGAATCAGAACTCACAGCAACTACTCAGGCCTGTGCCTAGAAAGCAAGGAGCAAGTGGGAAACCGCTCAGACCCGTGTTTTCTACCCACAGTACAAGAAGAAGAAGAAGAGTTTGGATTTGATACCCCGCCTTTCACTTTAAGGAGTCTCAAAGCGGCTAACATTCTCCTTTCCCTTCCTCCCCCACAACAGACACCCTGTGAGGTGAGTGAGGCTGAGAGACTTCAGAGAAGTGTGACTAGCCCAAGGTCACCCAGCAGCTGCATGTGGAGGAGCGGAGACGCGAACCCGGTTCCCCAGCTTACGAGACTACCGCTCTTAACCACTACACCACACTGGCTCTACGAGCGGAAGTATAGACAACACCTTAAAAAAAGAAAAGGAAAATCCAACTCAAAGCAGCAATAAGTTGCTTCTGCAGCCAGGTGAAGTCAAAGCAGAATGAGATTGGTAGTTTTGTTCATTGTGCTCCACAATCAGAAGGACGGTCCTCTTAGTTCCCTGTGCTACAGCATTTTGCATTGTCTGCAGAACCAAGATGCCAATCGGCGGAGCATTTTCAGAGGGATTTTAGATGGTCTGTTTCAGACTCAGTCTAGGCCTGTGATTCGCCTGGCCAATTTGAAATTAGGGCACAGAGGAGTTAAGTGAGCAATCCAAAAGGGACTGATCAATGAGTAGTAGTTCTCATACCCAGCTGAAGTTCTCTCTGTCTCTCATATTTTTGTGTAATATTATATTTCTTTTTCTATTCTGCCTTTTCCCCAGACTGGGACTCAAGGTGTTTTACAGATAAAAATACAATGCTGGGGTCAGGAGAGTGACCCAAGCATACTGGGTGCTGCTGACCAGCACTCTCAGTCAAACGTGAAACATCACAGATTTTCTGAGGGAACCGAAGCTCATTCGTGATTTCCAAGAAGGCAGTATCCTGGCAGCGATAGAAATGGAAGTTCTATGCACCGATATCCAAAACAGTGGTGCGCCACAAGCCATCAAAGAAGTTAAATACTTGATAGTATCGCAGCCCACCTGTCAGCTGAGCTTCCCGATGTCTTCTGACAGTTCGTCTCTTCAGATCAGTGAGGCTTTCGCCAAACTCTCATGTTTCAGTATCAGCCACATAATTGCATTTCAGTTACATAATAGGCAGAAGAAAAAGAATCATTACCGCAGCTGTCTTTGATGTTAATAAAATTGTTGCATTTAAAATATGTACATTTATCCTGGCAGTAAGGCAAGAGAGTGAAAACACCTTGTGAGCTGGCAGGTTTATGGCATCACACATTGCATTCTTCAACCGCTGCTGATTAGTCTTCTGCTCTTCCTCTGTGGTTTTTTCTTTTTCGCTGTTTGGAATAGCTCCCCTATCATGAGACAGGCCTCAAAATCTAGTCAAGCCCTTAAGGCGAGCAAGCTGAAGTCTTTAAGATGGGAGGGAGATGAGGTATTTGTTCCTTCAGCTACAATTACTGAGCTGGACCACTTTGTCTCTCTCTCTCTCTCCTGCCTTTCCTGATCAATCTGCTGTTGGCTTTTGTAGGCCAAGAAATCAGCAGGCCTCTCTACGATGAGAAAGTTGCAGCACTTATTTGGGTGGGAGATGGGAGCCTTCCGAGTGACAGCAGGGCTATAGAAAGAAAGGACAGAGTGAAAAGCCAACAGAATAGCAGCAGATTTCTGATATCAGTAGCTGATATAATCCTGACAGTCGATACAGTGGCATTTGCAGGGCAGAGACTCATGGATTTGATAGTAACTCAGCCACAGATTCCTGTAACGGATGCACAACATGGGCACACTGCAAAATTACATTGCAAAGTAACGAATTCCTGTATTGCAGGGGGTTGGACGAGAAGTTCCCTTCCAAGTTCCAACTTTACAATTCTGTGATTCTATGGGCAAAATACAACTAGAGCTGTATCACTGAGCCAATTCAGTCAGTTTATTGGATCACTTAAAAGACCTCACGATCAGATTTATATATCTGATAACATACGAACATATAAAAATGAGATGTGAAGAGCAAACACCTCTACTGACAGGTTACATTTGTTTGGAAAAGATTGTAGTTCATGTCTTCATTGGTCTCAAAAGACTATCATTTATACTAATTCATCTAAATAATTAACCATATTTGAAATATATTTTCTTGCCTTAATTTTTCCAGTTTTTTTTATTTGCAAAAATAACAGGAAAAAAACAAAACAAATAATATAATAGTAGTGATAAAACCACAGCAAATAATAATAATAATTGCAAGCTGACCTTAACAATAAGAGTTATTCCATAAATCCTCTTTTAATTGTATTTATTCATATTGGCAGTCCAAATAAGGATCAAAACAAAATTGAAATAAGCAATGCATTCAAACTTTAAAAGGCTGTTAACTGACAAGAATAATGTTTTACAATAATAATTGTTAGTTTTATTTAAAATGATAATCTGAAAACTTAAAATAACTTCAGGCAGTGACAGAACTTTACAGAGCTGTATGAAGACTATATAGAGTTACTGCCTTTGATCTTTCACTTTGTTTTCTGCAGACTGAAATAAGAAATGTAACTTAATATATCTTTAAAAATGAAAAATGAGCAATTAAAATTAACATTTTCTTTTGGGATGTAGCATTTCCTTTGTAACAATGGATCATACTAATTATCAAAGTGCTTTAAATAGCATCAGTTATGCTTACGCAGTTCTGTCCAGTTATTGAGTTCACCTCAAGGTTGGATAGTATATATTCAGTTAATTAAAGTTGGAAAAAGTAATGAGTAAGTGTATAAAATTGAGAGAGAGAGAGAGAGAGAGAGAGGGAAGAAAGGGTATATTTTTAATTAGACAGTACAATGTGCAGATTGAAGTTGCCATTACTTAAAAATAGCCACCGGATTTCAAAATACAGTTATAGCTAGACATGATTATTTAATGAATAGATTCATACATCCATACAGTAGCAAAGAGACAATACAGAATACAGTAGCAAAGAGAGAATATGAATACAGACTTCCGGGTTGGCGCCTCCAGGCAATGGCGGAGTTCCTCCTATCGGGAGGAATTTGCTCTGCGGAAATTAGGGTCTGACTGCCACGGCGAAGGCGGAGACCCACTGAAATCACAGGCGGGAGAAGCCTGTGAACTTGGGATTCGGCTGGCACCCTTTGCGCCTCCCCTACTCGCGGAGAAACCCTGATTTGGGGATCCAGAGCGAAGTGGGGTGAGTGGCGCAGTGCTTCGAATTGACTGCTTCTTTCACGGAGTGAAGCCGCATCGCTGTTGCCAGAGAGCGCTGAGTTTTTCCTGTGGACAATTGGATTTTAAGCAACTACCCGTGAGTAGAACGGAAAATTAGATCCTTAAATTCATTAATTTGGCATCGAAACGGGAAGGTTCTAAACAGGAAGTCCGCCTTCCTTTTTTGTAAACAGATTGAAGCAAAGAAGTTGCAAGTTAAAGCCTTGGAAAGTTTATTTTTGTAAAGGATTAAATCTCCATCGGTTAAAACTATTAAACCCCCCTTGGAAGCAGGAGAAGAGGGGGGAAATTTTGGACCTAGTGAGCCTGCAGGAGAGAGTGAAAAACCAAATTACCACTGCTCCGAACCTGGAAACGGGCTGCCAGAAAGAGTGACGTTTTTTGACAGCTAGCAATAAGAGAAATATATTGTTTCCATTGTACTCATCTGCGTTAAAAAAGTAGGAAAAGAAACTAACTTTATTGTTTAAATTGTGTTTGAAAGGATTGATACAAGTGGAGACTGTTTCCCTCTAGAGGGAGCTTTTGAAACTGTTACAAGAGTGGAGCTGTGGTTTTTCCAGTCGCAAGATAAGAACTGTGTGAAATAGAGATTGACCTTGGACTTTAAGAATGTTGACAGAAGGAGCCTTAGTGACTGTATTATGTAAGATAAGCTATTCGTTGGAACAGCTCCACAAGAAGACGGATGCTATGAATACCAAACTTGAGAACTTGGGACAAAAAGTGACTAATTTGGAACAAAAAGTGACCATTAATACAGAAATTGTTCAGGATTTGACACAGGAACCTACCTTGACAGGACAAACTGGGGAGAAGACGAAGGAGAATGTTGGTGTTGTTAAACCTAAAATAATACAAGTGGAAGCCCCAGTTTTACCGAGGCAAACTGAGGACTATAAGTGGAGGCCTTTTATGAATGAATATAGAAAAAGTCAGAATTTGAAGACTGGAGCCCTGTTTGGATTGAAGAAGGAAGGTTGGATAGACTCTTTCAAGCAGAGATTTACTGACCTTTGGGTCCTGAATCTGGGTCAGGAGGTGATTGGAGTTGTGGGGGCCTTTGGATCTGGAGGAGCCTTGAAACATGATTTGAGACATTGTATGGACACTGGTTTTAGCTGTGGAGAGTTGGTTGGTCTGTCGAGAGGGAATGGGGGCATGGTTGGATCGGGGCCCCTCCAAGACCTGCGCTTCAGCACCCTCAGTATCAAAGAATATGAAGAAAAACTGCAGAAGGTACTTGGAAAAGATTTAAGAGCCTCGGACAGAAGATCTCCAGGTTGATGAACTATATGGAATGGACGGAAATGACTGGCAGAATCCGAGACCAGGGAGAAGAGATGGTGGTAGAAGATTGGGAAAGTTTAAAGTTTATATATAGAAATATTGTAAATTTAATGAGTGTTAGAAAATTGTTGGAATGAAATTTTATGGCTTTAGCAGAAATGTTATAAGGAGTTAGGTATAAATAAGTATTTCAGTATTAATGGAAAATAAGGTACAAAATATGTTAAGATATTCATAATGATAAAAATAGAGAAAGATGGAAAGGAATTGCTGAAACAAGTAATAGAAGTGGAATACAAAAGGGAGGTGAGAGGAGGTCGATGAAATAAGGGAATGAAAGATAGAGTAATGAAATGGTATGGTATATGTTTTTAAATTGTTGTTCTTTTGTTTTGTTTAGGTTAATGTGTTAAGGTTGTGTTTTGTATTGTTTATTGTATTGTTTTTTCTTTTCTCTCTCTTTTTCTTCTTCTCTGTTCTATTTTGTCTTTTTCTTTCGCCTATTTTCTTCCTTTTTCTTTTCTTGTAAGTTTTAAAAGCAATAAAGATTATTTTTTTAAAAAAAAGAGATTATGAATACAGAGCAGACTCCAAATATAATAAATAAATAAATAAACAATAAAATCTTGAATGGAAAAGACCCTAGGTCAAATAAGTATTTTGTAGTAGTTTGTTTTTACATTTGCATCTTCATAAGATGCCAACATAGTTATTATGGGGACATTGTTATCTGTAAATCAGTGAGTCCATGATCAAAATTAAGTGGCTTGGATTTGAAGGTGCCCTTCTGCTAGCAGAAGGCCTTTTCTGAACATGGAATGATTGTTCCTTGGCTCAACAAAGTAGTGTTGTAGGAAGAAAGTGACCACAAACTTAAGGAAGTTGCACGAATCCTGTGGACCTTCTTATGGCCCAGTAGAGTTAGCATCCTAAAGTTGGTATTTTCCTTGTTCGCTACGTTCTGGTACGTTTTGACACTTCGCTGCAAGAATTCTTCTTCCTCTTCTAGTGCTTGCGCAATAGCTCGCCAAACCGCACCAACACAACATTTTCTCTCTGTGTTCATAGTTCTTTGGATCCTTGATCAGATTTAGGAGTGGCCAAACCCTCATAGCTGCTGCTTAGAGTTTAACCAGTTTAGTTTAATGCCGGTTGAGATGGGAGTCTACTTAGGTTTATCCAATTATTCCTTCAAATTGTTATCTATGGAATAAGCAAGGGTACCAAAACACGACTCCAAGAAAAATACCATTTTGTATTGTCATGGCATCAGAGGACCATTCACTTTCTCCAGTTGCACAGATTTCTCCCAAACTTGCACTTGTGTTCCAGTTTGTCAGCTGACATGTTTTTAAACAATCTCATTTGACCTTGCTGGCTAATCTGAAATAAAGCATTTGGTTCCAAATGATAAAATGCGGTCATTGTTATGAAAAGTACTTATCGGATATTACTGAACTTCTAATAAGAAGAGGTTCTTTATCCTAATTAGTTTTGAACAGTTGCCCTCCATGGAAAAGGATGGTCATATAAAAAGTGTTCCTTAACTCCAGAGACATGGTGCATCTGGTGTTGACTCATTAGAAGGAAATTCTATTTTTCAGTTTGTTTTGATTGCCCCATTTACAAGGAATCAACGATACATATCTAGAAAAAGGGGCACTGCTGAAATCAGAGGAAAAAAACCTTCTGCTTCCAAATAGTGGTAAGCAGCAAGAGAAAGAAAAATGCTCCATTTTTCCTCTTGCAGTGGCAAAATTATGAAATTTTTACAGGAAAAACCATTATATAGATTGTTATCTGGATAACTGAGAATCTCATTGCTTGTTTTTTATGGTTTTTTGCTGCTCTTGTTATAAGCTAACATAGCTATAGGATTTTATTTATTTGTTTATATGATGATTTTATCTTGTAAAGATTAAAGCTCAAAACAATAAAAAGGTAATTAGTTGAGAAAAGCAGTAAGCAGAGTAAAAAGAAAGTACAACAAGAAGTACAAACAATGTATAGACTACAGTTGCAATTCATAGAATCACAGAATCCTAGAATTGGAAGGGACTCCAAGGGCCATCTAGTCTAACCCCCTGCAATGCAGAAATCTTAACTAAAGCATCCAAGGCAAATGGCCATCCAACCTCTGGTAATAATTAAGGTACAAAACTACATAATATTTCATCATCATCATCATCATCATCATTATTATTATTATTATTATTATTTGTGTGTGTACAGTCATACCTCAGGTTACAGACGCTTCAGGTTGCGTTTTTTCGGGTTACAGACCCGCCGAAACCTGGAAGTACCAGGATGGTTACTTCTGGGTTTCGGCGGTCACGCATGAGCAGAAACACTGGGTCACAACCCGCGCGTGCACAGACGCACTGCTGTGGGTTGCGAACGCTGCGAGTTGCGAACGTGCATCTCGCACGGATCACGTTCACAACCGAAGCATACACACACAGACTTGTTCCTACAGTGACAAACACTTTAACGGGCTGTGGTAAAATTAAGCAGGCTGTGTTGAACAATGATCATGAAGGTAGTAAAGGTAAAGGGACCCCTGACCATTAGGTCCAGTTGGGACCGACTCTGGGGTTGCGGCGCTCATCTCCCTTGGCGCTTTATTGGCCAAGGGAGCCGGCGTACAGCTTCCAGGTCATGTGGCCAGCATGACTAAGCCGCTTCTGGCAAACCAGAGCAGCTCACGGAAACGCCGTTTACCTTCCCACCGGAGCGGTACCTATTTATCTAGTTGCACTTTGATGTGCTTTCAAACTGCTAGGTTGGCAGGAGCAGGGACCGAGCAATGGGAGCTCACCCCGTCGCGGGGATTTGAACCACCGACCTTCTGATCGGCAAGTCCTAGGCTTTGTGGTTTAACCCACAGCGCCACCTGCGTCCCATGAAGGTACTTAAATAAGATTGTGTGCTTGCCTGCCCCTTTTACACTACAAGTGACTATGACACCTGATTGGGATTATGGTAATAAAAAGTATGGGAACACAATATGGCCCCCCCCCCCTTGGTTAACAAAGGCTTCCATGAGCTTGCAGCTAAGATTCTTGAAGGACCGCCAGCTGCTTGACGTGTCTACCTGTACTTTAAGCAAAAATACCTTGCTATCTGGTGAGGATGTTGCTGTTTTTATCAGGGAGAGGACCTTCTTGGTGGCGTAACTTCAACTAAGGAATGGCCTTTGGAATGGTTGCTGCCTTTCAACTGGCTTTTTAAATTTTTTGTTGCAGTTTAATTGTGTTGCAGTCATTTCCTTTATATGTAAACCAACCCGAGAATAAAGTTCCAGGGCAGCATCTCGATATCTAAAATAAACAAATAAAGATGGTTCCCTCCACATCCTCTATTGGCAACTTGTTACATTGCAGCTTCAAGCTCACCTATTAAGTATCTGAACGCTCACAAAGATAACACATATGCCAGTCACTAATATTTCTGCCAGGCATTTCCCCATCTTTTAGATCCACCCCCCCCCCCCATTTCGGTGGTTGTGTGAACAGGATCGGTTCAGTACTTCAAGAATTCTTGCTTTTTGACCAAGATGCAAGCAAAGGAATTTTAGTATTTCATGGGTATGCATGATACAAGTGAAACGGAAGAGTATCTCCTGTTCAGGGTGCTCTCTTCCAAAATATTTGATTCCATTCCTTCTCCCCTGATTGGGATGTTTTTGGGGTTTTCAACTCTCCTTTTAAATATTTTGGATTTTTGTAGTTCTTCAAGCCTCAGGGTTTCCCCAAGCTCGCTGACACTTCTGGTATGCGTGGTTGGTACCATCTTGGCTATACGAATTTGCTATTAGTACATAGGATTTTAGCCCTGTTCCTCCTCTGCTTAGCTTTGGAAAGATACTGGAATGCTTGCTTTGTTTGCCTGTGACTCCTCTTGTCCTTAAGTGTCAGCCAAATAACTTGGTTCGCTTTATCCACGCCATCTCCCTTTCCCATCCACCTCCATTGTCTGCCTTCAGGATACTAGCAAGCCTTTTTTGTTTTGAGGACATGCAGCATAAGAGTTTTCAGAAGGCTGACAAAAAGGGAACTGGGATTAAAGGCCTTCTGCCTGAATATGCCAAGCTTTTACATTAAAAGGATATGATTGCTTTCTGCCCAAACAGTGCATCACGGGTAGAGGAGCTGGGGCCAGAGCCTATTTAATTTATTCGTGAATTATCTGGAGTCAGGGGGGTATGTGGATGATATTGTATGTTTCAGGATGGTGATACTAGATAACTCAGTCTCTGCAAACTGGGCTAATGGGCAACAAATGGCAAAATGAGATTCGGTGTAAACAAGAGCAATGTCATTTTCACTGGGCCAAACAAGAAGAAGAATCCTCACTTAACCTTTGTGCTGAAGGGAGTCTGAACTGTCCGTGATTCTCCATGAAAGATCTTGCAGTGGGGGGGGGGTGAATAGATCACTAAAACATCAGTGTGGCTTTGAAAAAGACAAGTTGGGGATCACAAGTGGGGATCTACAAGAAAATGTTGGAGTGTGTCTTGAATTAATACCTCACGGTCTGCCTCTTTCCATATGAACCTACTTGGACCCTGAGATCATCTTCTGAATCCCTTCTTTGTGTGCCTCCTCCATGAGAGGTCCAGAGGGTGGCAACACGAGAACAGATCTTTTCTGCAGTGGCTCCCCATTTGTGGAATGCTCTCGAGGTATGGCTGGCACCTTCATTATATACCTTTAGGCACCAGGCAAAAACATTCTTCTTTAACCAGGCCTCTGGCTGATTGACATCCAATGCCCTTTTAAAATGTGGTGGGTATTCTTGTTTTTCTTTTTATTATGTATTTTGTGCTTTTATATTGCGATTTTATGTTGTTATGAGACCTGCGGGTATAGGGCTGTAAACAAACAAACAACAAAACCTTTCTTAAATTTGGGAGCAGAGGGGAGCAAGTCACACAGCCATGGCTGGAAGAATTGACCCAGTGGTTCCCATGGCAACCAGAAACTGCCCCCAAAGCCTTCCCAATTACATGAGAGATGGGAGACAGAGTGAGGTAGAAGGAACCTCTTTCCATGTAGGTTGGGCTGACCCTGGGAGGCTTCCCCTCTTTGCAGAGCAGCAGAAAACAAGAAGGGTTTGCCACAGATAGACACTGCTGGCAGCATCCTGTTCTGGGCAGCTCTCCTGCCAGTCTGCACAAAGAGGAGGCCTCCTCCATGCATGGTTGAAGAAAGCAAGGAGCACAGCTAGGCAGGGGCATGGCAGCTTTAATTCTGCTACTCTGCATGGAGAAGAGGGCTTGCCTTACAAGCATCACTTAGGCATACCCCACACTTTCTCTGTTCTATGTAAATTCAGAACGTTGCAACTCTCTTAAACTACTGCTTGACTCGGTGAAATACACGGTTTTACTCCTCAGCCGTGCACTGCTGTTGGATACACGGGTAGCATCACTAAGGAGAGGTACCCTTTTCCAGCTTCAGCAACTATGACCCATACTGACAAAAGTGAACCTCACCAGCACAGTTTATGTCCTATTGACCTCCAGGCCATACAACAATGCACTCTATGTTTTGAAACTAATTAGTGTGTTGTTGTTTTTTAAAAAAGGACAGCCATGTTGCTGGTGGGTGCCAGATGCCTCGATCCCATCACACTGATTTTGCACAACCTGCCCTGGCTTCTTGTTCATTTATGATCACAATTCCGGGTGCTGATGTTAGCCTTTAAAGCCCTCACTAGCTTGGGCTCTGGGTACCATAAAGGCTGCTTTCTTCCATAGATTCCTTCCTGCATGTCCTGATCATCATCCCTTGGCCTCACGGGGCACTGCTGATTGCATCCAGGACTGGGGAACTTCCCATGGTGATACCTGCCCTGTGGAATGGTTTGCCAAGCATGGTTCACCAGGCTCCATTTCTATCTGGTTTTAGCCACAGAGCTAGTAAAATGTGGTTGTTCAGAATGGCTTTTTGCAAATTGTTACTTTATATGGCCGGTTTTTGTGTGTGTGAGTTTTAGGACTGAGTTTAACTTGGTGGTTGTTCTGTGTTCAACATTTTGTTCTGGCATTTTGGCTTATTACCTGCCTTGAGGTTCCCTGGGATGTAGGAAGCGTATGAGCTTTATAAATAAATTGTAATTATCAGTGTTACTATTTTTGTGAGACCAACGTCACTGACGTAGTAAAACTTTGTGGATCTTCTGCTCAGCAGTCTGGAGTTGAAAATTGTTGTCCATCTAAATATTTCGGTTCAAAATCTCACCAGAGGGAGTCATGATAAATTGAAGGATACCTGTGCAACCCTCTAATCACAGTGACATGGCTGATTTGTTTATAAAATGCTAATTTTGACTTTTACGTTGAGGTCAGGCTCTTGCATGAGTTATCAAGATAAGTGCAAATACCTCTTTTTATAGCACTTAATTGTCCATCTGAAATATTTGTCAAATACCCACCGAGATGTTTCACATGTTTGCTTTAAAAAGGAACTTTGTGATCTAGCTAATGGAGACTCCATAGATAACAGGCTGGCCCCTGGCCCTGTTCTTTTGTATTGTTTTCTGTCTTTCATTCCATGGGTCCCAAATTCTGATTTCTTAACTAGAATTTCTAAGGTTAAATCCAAAACTGGAGCATGTGGAGAAATGCCTTCTTCTTCCACATATGCCTGCCCCTCCTCTAGGTGTTTCCACCTTTAGAGGTTGGGTAGGTTGCTGTCAAAGAGCCATAAAAGTCATAGACACTCCCCTCCCTCTAGAATGGCCTCCCCAGGGAGGCTTCCTCAGTGACAGGCGCATAGGGACCTCTCTTGTGCCACCTACTCAAGAACAGGAGTATTATGCATGGGGGGGCTGAGCCCTCATCTGCTTTATGTAGATCAGGCTTCCTCAGCCTTGGCCCTCCAAATGTTTTGAGACTACAATTCCCATCATCGCTGACCACTGGTCCTGCTAGCTAGGGATCATGGGAGTTGTAAGCCAGAAACATCTGAAGGGCCGAGGTTGAGGAAACCTGATGTAGATGATTGTTTTGGCCAACCTTATAAGGTTGTTGTATAGATTAAGGAAAGCTGTTTATATGGAATATCTGGGGGGCGGGGCGGGCTTATACCAATAGTATCATCAGTGATTTCATTTTAGAAACTCATTGCAAGATAGTGCTTGTAATTTCCCCTCCAAGGTAATCTGCTCTTTGTACAACACTGTAACTAGAGCTCCCATGAGGGCTGATTTATTTATGATTGTATCAAAACAATTATCCAACCTGCCTGACTTAATTGCTTTTTAATATCGTAAAATGATGTACCAAGCAGTGCGTGCTTTAATCAGCTAATTGAGTGGCCAAACATAAAAAGCACCCAGTTCTTTGAACCAGACCTTTATTTGCAGCTTGGAGCATGTAAATAGTTCTTCCAATTGTGAGAGATTAAGATAGAATTTACATGTTTCGCTGTCTTTTCTTAGCTTGCCTCACTCTTAAGCAATTTGCTCAACATAGCAGGCATTGTTGTGTTTCACACACTCCACTGGCCAATACTGCTACATGAGGAGCAGGTATGTGCCCACAACACCTCACTGCAACACAGGCTGTTTTTGCAGAATATCTGAAGGTGCGGACTAGGAACGAAGATGATGGGCAGGTTCAGATGCCAGAAAGTGTTCACAGATAATTTAGGTCACTGTAAGGTGTGTATTTTAAGGCCTTACAGTTTTGCCTGGAAACAAGCTGAGTGAGATCCAGTGACAATATTTAAACTTTAAGTTAAAGATACTCATTACAGTAGGACCCGGTTAATAACTTGCATTCTAGACATATAACTATGTGCATTCATCAGGTAAGGTGAAATTCATTTTTATGGCTGCCCACTAAAAGCTCCCCAAAGCAGTACATAAAAAATTTAACCACAATAAAATACATATTTCAAAACATATTGCAGAATATAATAGACATACCAGATGGAGATTCTGGTGGTGGACCAACTACAGTTGCAACAGGCACAACTTGATCAACTGCAAGAAAAGCTGGTTCTCGGACCCTGAAGCTGCAGGATTGACCTTGAGGAAGGTCTGCAACCCCCATTCCCAGCACTGCTTGTGTGCACACCATACATTTGAAGTACGCATGCACACTGCAAGAATCCTGGGCACTCTAGTTTGTTAAGACTGCAGGGGATTTTAGCTCTATGATGTGTCAACTATAGTCCCCAAATTTCTTTAGGCGGTGTTTTAAATGTGTGGTGTGTATGCAGGCTTGGCCTATGCATATAATACTCTGAAATATGTTTCTGTAACACAGTATTACCATTTTATTAGTTTTCTTTTTTCATTTAAAGTTTGCTTGTTGCTTTCTGTTGCCTTGTTGCAGAAATTCATACAAGCGTGTATTTTGAAAGCAGAAGGATTGCTCTGAATTTGTTGTTGTTCTATAATAATAATAATAATAATAATAATAATAATAATAATTTATTATTTGTACCCCGCCCATCTGGCTGGGTTTCCCCAGCCACTCTGGGCAGCTTCCATAGAAACCAAAAATACACTAAAATATCATACATTAAAAACTTCCCTGAACAGGGCTGCCTTAAGATGTCTTCTGAATGTCAGGTAGTTATTTATCGCTTTGACATCTGATGGGAGGGCGTTCCACAGGGCGGGCGCCACTACCGAGAAGGCCCTCTGCCTGGTTCCCTGTAGCTTTGCTTCTCGCAATGAGGGAACTGCCAGAAGGCCCTCGGCGCTGGACCTCAGCGTCCGGGCAGAACGATGGGGGTGGAGACGCTCCTTCAGGTATACTGGGCCGAGGCCGTTTAGGGCTTTAAAGGTCAGCACCAACACTTTGAATTGTGCTCGGAAATGTACTGGGAGCCAATGTAGGTCTTTCAAGACCGGTGTTATGTGGTCTCGGCGACCGCCCCCAGTCACTCGTCTAGCTGCCACATTCTGAATTAGTTGTAGTTTCCGAGTCACTTTCAAAGGTAGCCCCACATAGAGCACATTGCAGTAGTCCAAGCGGGAGATAACTAGAGCATGCACCACTCTGGCGAGACAGTCCGCGGGCAGGTAGGGTCTCAGCCTGCGTACCAGGTGGAGTTGGTAGAGAGCTGCCCTGGATACAGAATTGGCCTGCGCCTCCATGGACAGCTGTGAGTCCAAAATGACTCCCAGTCTGCGCACCTGGTCCTTCAGGGGCACAGTTACCCTATTCAGGACCAGGGAGTCCTCCACACCAGCCCGCCCCCTGTCCCCCAAAAACAGTACTTCTGTCTTGTCAGGATTCAACTTCAATCCATTAGCCGCCATCCATCCTCCAACCGCCTCCAGGCACTCACACAGGACCTTCACCGCCTTCACTGGTTCTGATTTGAAAGAGAGGTAGAGCTGGGTATCATCTGCATATTGATGGACACCCAGTCCAAACCCCCTGATGATCTCTCCCAGCGGCTTCATATAGATGTTAAAAAGCATGGGGGAGAGGACGGAACCCTGAGGCACCCCACAAGTGAGGGCCCAGGGGTCTGAACACTCACCCCCCCCCCACTTTCTGAACACGGCCCAGGAGGAAGGAGCGAAACCACTGTATAACAGTGCCCCCAGCTCCTCTAGACGGTCCAGAAGGATGTTATGGTCGATTGTATCAAAGGCCGCTGAGAGATCCAGCAGAACTAGGAAACAACTCTCACCTTTGTCCCTAGCTCGCCGGAGATCATCAACCAGCGTGACCAAGGCAGTTTCAGTCCCATGATGAGGCTTGAATCCCGATTGGAAGGGATCCAAATGGTCCGCAACCTCCAGGCGTGCCTGGAGTTGTTCAGCAACCACGCGCTCAATAACCTTGCCCAAGAATGGAAGATTTGAGACTGGGCAATAGTTGGCCATACTGGCCGAGTCTAAAGATGGTTTTTTAAGAAGCGGTTTAATGACCGCCTCTTTCAGCGGATCTGGGAATGTTCCCTCACAGAGGGAAGCATTCACCACCCCACAGAGCCCATCACCCAGCCCTTCCCGGCTTGCTTTTATTAGCCAGGATGGGCAAGGATCCAGGAGACAGGTGGTTGGTTTCACGCGTCCAAGCAGCCTGTCCACATCCTCGGGGGTAACAGATTGAAATTGATTCCATGCAACTTGACCAGACAGAGCTCTAGCACTCTCCCGCCCCAGCCCTGCTCCCATGGTGGTGTCTAGCTCCACTTTAGACGGTCCTAGCAGTGTCATGAAAAGCAAGCGTGCTCTGTCAATACATTTTCTACATATTGCAGGCATATGAACAATCCACACATTCTGTGGAAAGAACCAACTTGATACTAGGTGAAAACTCATTGTGAGAAGGGGAACAGCATTGAAATGGCCGTTTTGTAAGTTCAAGTTCTCATGCGTGAAATGGCAGCACTTTCAGAACTTCAGGTTTTTGGAGCCTCCAGCAAATGGGATCTTTAATAAGGGACCCAGAAATATATAACAATGCCTAGGTATCGTCCCAAGTTGCAGACCCAATTTGACAGACATTGGACCTGGAATAAGCTCACACTGGGCTTTGTGTGTTGGTTTCTTTTGGTAGCCCACAAGGACATCTCGGGGCGTCAGCCATCAGAAGTACTTTCTTTCTCTTCTGCCATTACTACTGGCTCAACTCAGACAGATCCAAGTGCTTCAAAACATCATTAAAGGCAGATCTGCACCATACATTTAAAAACTATCCAGTGCACATTTAGAGTGCATGACTTCCCCCAAAGATTCCTGGGGGCTGTGGTTTCGACTTCCAAAGCTACGATTCCAAGCACCTTTAACAAAGTTCTGCTTTTTGTGTATGTTTGTGATGGAAAAGAAGCCCTTGGAAAGCACTTGGAATCAGTGGTGGAGTTAGCTGCATGGGCACCCCAAGCAGTGGCCATGATGTGCACCCGGGGGGGGTGAGTTGTGGGGTGGCAGCATGATCCGCTGCACATGGTGGCACCTTGAGCCGCTGCACACGGGGGCGGCGGGGCAAGCCCCGTGCGGTGTGCCTTTTTGTCACCCCCCCCCCCAGGGATGACACCCGGGGTGGACCGCCCCCACTGCACCCCCCTTCCTACGCCCCTGCTTGGCATTAGCTCCAGTTGGCTCTCCAGAAAAGGTGTCTGTGTCAGACTCCACCCTTTTTATTTATTAAATTTATATACCACCCTTTGTCCAAGGTTCATAGGGCAGCTAAAAGTATAAAAACACAAAAATACACAGCATAATAACAAACAAAGCAATAATCCCCCACCATGGATCCCATGTTGGTGATGGACACTAAAGCACTGCCTGGATTGTCCACTTACAGGCACCAAGCCCATCTAATTCTCTGGCCTGCCTCTTCTTCTTCTTTGGCGATGACTCATAGCCAAGTAAGATTGCCTTCCATGAACACGGTCTTAACAGTGAGTCCGTAAGTGACTGTGGAGGCCAATTCTGGATCCACACATCCTTCCACAGTGGGGACATAGGTTTCCGGGCGGAAGCTGATCACGGTGAGGGTTTGCCAAATGTGCCTTCCTTTTAGCACGTTTCTCCCTTTCATCCCTTTGAACATCTTCAAAGTCCATGTCACTTTTGGTAAAGGCTGTTCTCCAGTTGGAGTGCTCAAAAGCCAGTGTTTCCCAGTTATCAGTGCTTATGTTACATTTTTTTTAGATCTGCCTTGAGAGCGTCTTTAAACCTCTTTTGTTGTCCACCAGTATTACATTTCCCATTTTTAAGTTCGGAATAGAGCTCTGGCCTACTACATACCTAGCACAGACTTTTATTACATGTGTCAGTGGAGAGGAGGCAAGGAGTGTCTGCAGAGAGCAGTTTATTTTTTGCAATAGAGATGTGATTTGTACTATTACAGACACATAATTATTGAGGAGCAGAACCAACATTTCCATAATGCAGTAGCCTCTGACTTTGCTCGTTATATAAGCTAGTATTTGCATGCTCAGTTAAGTGAGCCATCCTCTCTACCCTCACATTCTTGATCCTACTTCCAGTGGACACAGGTGGGCAGTCAAATGTTTTGGAAAGTAATTGGTTGCATTGCGCTTTCCCCGAATTAAACAGCTTCCCTAGCTCTAGTTGCCATAGCAAAGAAGCTGAGTGTTCCCTTGATGCGAGCAATAATTATGGTGATTATGGAATGATTCCCCCCCCTTTTTTTTTTGGAGCAGCTATTGCAAGTGGTTATATTCCGGTCCAAAGTACAATGTGAATGACACGTTAATTGTGTTTGAAGAGAAGAGGAGGCTGCTCTTTTGCTAGGGAAATGACTGTGAAACAAAGCCCCAGAGGTGAAACAAAGAACCAGCATAATGGTTCAGTGGCAGCAAAAATAAATGCACCGTGAGAAGGGCACAGAGAAAGGACTTTAGTGCCAGCGAAATGTATTCAGTTCGGCCCAGGTGATTGGTAAGCATCTGCTGTGCTGTCAAGGGTCCCCACCTCTGTGCCAGGGGTCACCTAGTGTTGGCAACACTTAAATTCTGCACCTCCGAAGACCCCAGTTTCCAGACATACTTCACCAAGCTCACACTTAGATGTCATTCCTAATGGGACCCTCAAGTAAGTGAACAACCATCATAGAAACGTAGCAATAGACCAAGTAACAAGCAAGCTTCTGCTGAAGTGGACTCCAGTCTACAAAAGCTTGTGCCATGTTTAATGTTTCGTGTCAGTTCACTGTTGGAGGCAGTATGCTACTGAATACCAGTGCTGTGCGCTTGGGTCCTGTTTGCAGCTTCCCATAGGTGTTTGGCTGGCCACGGTGAGAACAGGTTGCTAGACCAGACAAGCCTTTGTCCTGCTGCAGATGCTGGTCTTCCCTACAACCCAATGTGCAGTTTCTGTGCTAAGTCCAAAGAAGGGCATTTACCTTCAGAATGTCAAACGAGAAAGAAATCAGGACCACTACATGTATTCTGAATGGAACATGACACTGGATGCAGAATTCCTGTTCCATCGCAGCAATGTGAGGCACTGCTAAGCAGGGTCAGAATGAAGCAAGGAAGCATGGTGGTAATAAGGTTGTGTGAGCGGCTATGATGAGCACAGATGAATAAGCCCTCGTACCCGCTGCTGCCAACCTCGCACTTCCCCCATCCTCACAATTATTCTGCCTAACTTCTTCCTGGTCCAGATGAACAGCAACAGAACTTAATTCTGCCGAAGCAAAAATAATAAGAAATGCATCATTTGCGTAATTAGTACAGGTTGCAGGATTCGGCTTTTCAAGGCACATAATTTTGTTTTTCACACATCCCTTGCAGAGTATAAACAATTCAACAGCAGCAAAGATGTTTCTGCATCCCTCCCAACTGCAGTGGTATAATAATACCTTGGCTCTGGCAACCAGTGAAAACAGGAGTTTAGAATCTTTTGTCTCCCCTCTTCATTTGCCACATGCATTATTTGTTTATTATTTATTAATTTGTTAGTCGCTTTATCTTGCCCAGGGCAGGGCAACCCAAAGCAACTTACAACTAACCAAACAGACAGAGACACACATCCTAATACATTAAAATCAAGAGGAAAACCAAATATATTAAAAACATCCCATCCACAGAGTAAAGTTTTTGCCTGGCACCTAGATATATAATGACAGCACCAGGTGAGCCTCCCATATATGCCTCTACCTGAAGGGCAGCACCTTAATTATAGAAAGAACTGAACTGAACTGAACTGGAGGCAGTGCCAGATTTACGTATAAGCTAAACAAGCTATAGTTTAGGGCCCCACTCTCTTGGGGCCCCCAAAAAAATTTAAAGGGAAAAAACCTGGATGTACATTTCCAAAATATAAGATAAAAAAAGAAATAAAATAAAACCTACATACAGCAACAGTGTTTTGTGTTGTGTAGGCTCCTATGATGTAAGTAGTGGGCCCCACCTGCTAGCCTGCTCCCTAAAATATCAGTAGTTAGATACCTATTAGGTCCATAAATTACCATATAGCATATATTCAACACACAAAAAAACAGTGACAATTTGTTGTTGACAAAGGACAGCTGGACATATAAAGGGCCCCATTACCTTCAGTAGCTTAGAGCCTCAATAAACCTAAATCCGGCCCTGACTGGAGGTTATACAGTGGTACCTTGGGTTAAGTACTTAATTCGTTCCAGAGGTCCGTTCTTAACCTGAAAACTGTTCTTCACCTGAAGCACCACTTTAGCTAATGGGGCCTCCTGCTGCTGCCGCACCGCCGGAGCACAATTTCTGTTCTCATCCTGAAGCAAAGTTCTTAACCCGAGGTACTATTTCTGGGTTAGCGGAGTCTGTAACCTGAAGCATATGTAACCTGAAGTGTATGTAACCCGAGGTACCACTGTAATCTGTGATAGGGCTTCTGATAGTTGGGACAGAGATCCAAATTCTAACCATGTCTACTCAGTCCTAACCATGTCTACTCAGAACTAAGTCCTTTTATAAAATTGGCAGGACTTACTCCCAGGTAAGTGGAGTTAAGCTTGTGGCCTAAATTCCCTATTTTAAACTGGAATAGAAGCAAGTAGATGTGCATGTTTATTTGTGTCCACCACAGTGAGCTTCTTGATCAGGGGTAGGCAACCTAAGGCCCGAGGGCCAGATCTGGCCCATTCACCTTCTCAATCTGGCCCACGGATAGTCCAGGAATCAGCATGTTTTTACATGAGTAGAATGTGTGCTTTTATTTAAAATGCATCTCTGGGTTATTTGTGTGGCATAGGAATTCATTCATTTTTTTTCTTTTCAAAATATAGTCCAGCCCACCACATGGTCTGAGGGACAATGGACCGGCCCATGGCTGAAAAAGGTTGCTGACCCCTGTTCTTGATGCTAAGCTGATTTCTCTCATCTTTTTATTCATGATTTGCTTGTAGTTTTCGTCTCTGGCCGCTAGAGAGCAACCATGGCTCAGCGTTACTGTCTTTGCTAAAAGAGCATGAAAGTCGTTTGATATTCAGCTACTCAGGAAGGGCAGTGATTTAAGTGAAAGAGCATTGAGTACAGGGTGCACTGTGGAGGGGTGTGTGTGCTATATTTGCTTTTTTAACAGCTACCCAGCAACTCAGAGTGATCTGATGAGAGACTGTAACAGTGACAACTCAGTGTTGCTGTCTCTGAAGTGTGATTGATTTTCGGCAACTGGCAACATGCCTCTGCTACATTCCATGTTTTTTGTTTTAAATAATGGTCCCTAAAATTCCCATGCAAAATTGCAGAATTAAGATGATGCCTGCATGCTTCCTGAAGTCACCACAACCTCCTGTAGCAGATAGCAGGCATACATGAGGTATGGACTTGCTTTGGGAGACAGTAGAGAGTTGGCTGGGAAGGACGTAAAGAGACCTGCTGATGACTTCCTTTCTAGCAACACAAGGCCTCAAAGTCATTTTGCTGAGAAAATACATCAGACCATGAGCCGTACTGCCAGTTTGTGACACTGCTGCCCCACCAGGTGGGTGAAAGGGACCAAGAGGGTAGGAAATGTGGGAAAGATCAGGGACTTTTATTTGTAAGGGTTAATTTTGTCCTGGGCTGGGCTGGGCCAAGGACGAATCCCAAAAATGGCTCCCCATTCCCCACAAGGGAAGATTTACATGTGGATCAAGGGGGAAAGAAAGATCAACATCAGGATCCTCCCACCTGAGGCAGTGATCTCATCTTGCTTTAAAGATCAGCATTGGGATCATCTGCTCCTGTGGATTCTGCCGCCTGGGTCAGATGCCTCATCTTGCCTCACAGGTGGGCCGGCCCTGGTCTTGTGTGTGAGAGGGTGCAGAAGCAAAGGAACTATTCTTCAGCTACTGACATTGTAATACCTGATCTATTGGGAGCAGCTACTCCTGTGTTGATTGGTAACAGACTGCTGTTTTCATTTCACCCAGATGCAAATGTGGCCATTCAGTAAAACCCCGTTGCATTTGATCACAATGGGCTAGATGGCCAGATGAAAAGTGAATATAGTCCTTGGAGAAATAACTCTTCAAAAAAAATCCATTAGGTGGCAACTTGGGGTTTTTGACTGACAGATCCTCTTATGAAGCTAATATTGTAAGTTTAGCTATGAGTAAAATAATGATTCTTGTGTGGGAAGCAGGATAAGGAAGGCAATTAGTAGTTTAATAACAGCTTTCTGCTGGCTGAATAGTAGCTGGAAACTTAAAGTACAGTTGATGGTAATCAGCTGATTTTTTTTAACTCCTAAATAAAAACAGCAGCAAAAAAATGAATATAAACTCATCTTGCTCCTTCCTACCTTTCAGTGTTTTCTGTTTTTGCATGATTGGTGATGCATTTAAACTGCCTTGTATTTGAGAGAGAGAGAGAGGAAAGGAGGTTGTTTCTGGAAGTGAGCGAAGCGCAGAATAGTGGGCATGGATGAACAGAGCAATGTTAACATGGTGCAAGAAATGCTGTCATGAACTGTGGAGTAAACTGCTTGGTACAACAGTTTATGAAGTACAAGGTTTATGAAGAGAAGATGTATGGATACTTAGTCTGGCCTCCTCTTAAAAATATATATGGAAAAGGATTCTTCTCATGATTTCCCTAGTCATTTTCCCCTGTTGTCCAGCTTTTCTTACTATATCTGAAAAATGTCCTGATATGCATAAGGTTCAGGGCCGGCCTACCCATAATGCAAGATGAGACAACTTCCTCAGGTGGCAGGTTTCATTATAGCAGCAGATCTTGATCTCAGTCTTTCTTCCCTTCTTGTTCCTGAGGTACATCTGCCCTGGCGGGGAGGGGAGCACCATTTTGGGGTCCACCAGAGGTGCCAAGATGTCTTGGGCTGGTCCTGCTAAGGCTGATTTGCTTCAGTGGCCTCCCCCCCCCTTTTGAAGAGTCATTCTTTAAGGATTCAATTCTATTGCATATATCCCCAGAAGGCTGTTGTATTCTCCCCTCACTCTTGTTTTATTTCTTCTAGCCAGGGGCATGGCTAGATACTTAAAAGAGAAACAAATCTGCATATAGTGTATATGTATAGTTGCCTCTGGCAAATTAAGGTGGCAAGCGTGCTTGGGGGTGTTCTGATTTCTTTAAAAGTCAGGAGACTGTTACATGCATCTGCCATGTAACATCTAGTTTGTTGTTGTTGTTTAGTCGTGTCCGACTCTTCGTGACCCCATGGACCAGAGCACGCCAGGCACTCCTGTATTCCACTGCCTCCCGTAGTTTGGTCAAACTCATGCTGGTAGCTTTGAGAACACTGTCCAACCATCTCATCCTCTGTCGTCCCCTTCTCCTTGTGCCCTCAATCTTTCCCAACATCAGGGTCTTTTCCAGGGAGTTTTCTCTTCTCATGAGGTGGCCAAAGTATTGGAGCCTCAGCTTCACGATCTGTCCTTCCAGTGAGCACTCAGGGCTGATTTCCTTCAGAATGGATAGGTTTGATCTTCTTGCAGTCCATGGGACTCTCAGAGTCTCCTCCAGCACCATAATTCAAAAGCATCAATCCTTCGGCGATCAGCCTTCTTTATAGTCCAGCTCTCACTTCCATACATCACTACTGGGGAAAACATAGCTTTAACTATGCGGACCTTTGTCGGCAAGGTGATGTCTCTGCTTTTTAAGATGCTGTCTAGGTTTGTTAGGTAAGAAAAGTGCCTGGGATTTTACAGGGCTTGTGCTTCCTTACAATGTTTTGTTTCTGTGAATAAAACGAGCACGGGGGTGGGGGGGATGCCAGTTGCCTGCTCACATGGATGCCTCGAAATTTGAAATATTTATTGAGTCATGTAGCATTGGCTTGTAAAATTTTGAGGCCAGCTTCTAGAAACATGAAATACTTTTCTAGCCTTGAATACAACCCTAGAACTAGACACTTTCCACCCTTTGCAGAACACCGCAGCTGTTGCTGCCATTAGAAGGCAAGAGCCAGAGCATATATTTATCTTTCTAGGCTTTGCTCAAATCCTTATAAAATTTGCCAGGAAAACTGGAAGTGACTTACGACATGATTGTGACTGCTGAAAGCATCCCAGCTACATGAAGCAGAAGAACAAGAGGTTTGGAGATTTGCTGCCGCACTGTGCATTGAGTTCATAGTCTTGTTCTTTCCCACTCCAAACAATACTGCTGTAAATCAGAAATGATTCTGCTGTAAATCTTAAGGATCCAGTCTGCAAAAACTTTCTTACTGAGAACTGTATTTATTTATTTTTAATATAGCTGCCAGGAGGGTGTCTTTGTTTACATTTGGCATGCCAAAAATCCCTCTCTGAAACCAGCTTACATAATAATGTTTCAGCCCTGGTTTACTTATTAGCATTGCAAACTGCAGCAGTAAGCCATGGATTGATGCACGCTCTGTGACATTTGCATTTAGAAATGAAAAGGCAAGTGTTCATTAAGTAGTGTGCCATTTCCAAAAGGAAAGGGGGGGGGAAATACTTCCAGTTGTATTTAAGGCTTAATTAATGTGTGTGTGTGTGTGTGTGTGTGTGTGTGTATAGAACGTTCCCCAGATACTTTTTGCCGCAAGGGTTATTAACAAATGCACACTGCCATCTTATTATTTTAGTTGCTGTGGCTAAGACATCAGCCTATTATAGCATCCTGAAAATGCCTTTAGCCTTGTAAATATTAGAAAAGAGTCTGAATATAAACCACAATAGTTCTGATGGCGCCTGGGAATTAAATTACATAGTTCTAGAAAGCTCTAAATTGCAAGTATTCAAACATAAGGACTTGAGGCCTGATGACACGTACATGTGTTATGCAGTGCTGCTGTTTTGTTAATGTTTCTCTAAATGGTAGGGGTGAGGTATTTCTGAGAGTGCTGACCATTCCTGTAATTCAGGTGTGGTTTGAAGGTGCTCTGTGGGCTGAAGCAACTATCCTCAACACTAAGAACTTTCTGTGACAGACAGACCAGGGCTGTCTGTCAATGTTTTTAGCTTTTGTTTTGTTTTGTTTTATAGTGGCTTTAACTTTTTGTCATATTTTTAGGTCGGCTTGAGTTTACTTTTCATAAAAAAGTGACTAAATGCGATTAAGAATAATAAATAATATGTACCCATCTACCATTCTGTTGTGTGTACTGCTTAGAAAGGTTTGGGATTAAGTGGTCTTTAAATCTCCCAAAAGCTATAAATCACAACCAGCACACAGGAGACATCTACAGCCCTTTGCTTCCATACCATGCAATTGTACTCACACTCCTATAGGAACTCGCTCCCTAGAAAAGCCAGACTGGCTCCCTCCTTGTTGTCCTTCTGCTGGCAGACTTTCTTGTTCCAACAGGGAAATGGCTGCTTTTAACGAAAGGGCTGGTGCCCTGCTCTTCTTATTGTAATTATTTGTATGGTTTTATTAGATTATAATAAATTTTAACAATCTTTAATTGTTCTTCATTAATTGTTTCTTCTATGTTTTTAGTGATTCTTATTTTAATCTGTAAGCCGCTTCAATTATTATTATTTTATTTACCATTATTTATTAAATTTATATGCCGGCCTTCATCCAAAGATCACAGGGCGGTTTACAGTATAAAGTTGTTGGGCGCCTGACCCCCACCAGCCCCAGCCAGGGCAGACAGTGATCAAGGATGATGAAAGTTGCTGTCCAAAACATCTGGAAAGCCTATTCCCACCATCCTTGATGTCCCTGTCAGGGGAAAAGGCAATGTATAAAGAAAAATATAATAAAAGTATAGTAATATTTACAACCAGTTTAGCAAATGATAACCTTATTGCCTCTTTAGGTAGTGGTCAGATTCCTCGTGGCACAATCTCTTGAATTCAAGTAGGCTTTCTTGTGCAGAGGAGAGGTACAATTAAGTGACTTTAAATTTCTCTTTTGATCTTTGCTTCGATTCAGAAATTCTTGCCACGTGAGCAAGAAGCCCTTGCAGTCCCGGGCCAAAGTGCAATGCCATAACCACCTGTGTTCTCAAGCTGCTCCTGAGGGTCTCCTGACCATTTGGAGGCAGAGTGAGATCTTTTGGGAACTTTGGATACAAACTCTATGAAACTCAGTGAGAGATGTGGGGTTTAAATAACAGTGACATGAGGACGCAGATCATTCCCGATTCAATTACAATGGGATTTTGTCGATGGTAAGTTTGGGATTTTTCCTCCGTGTTTCTCAATCACCTTTTCACACTGTGTTGGATACGCCTGTTGGTCAGTCTTGCACGTTGTTATTCTACTTGTTCTTGCTGCATGTCATTGTGAGATGCGTCTGGAATGTTGAATGAAGTGCCTCCTGTGTATCGTCCAGTGTAAAAGACATTCATTCATCAGGCAGCTGTGATTAAGGCAAATTTGTGAAAGTTTCTTTCTTCCCTGTGTAATCTGTATCTCTCTTTATTTTGCAGAGCTGACAAAAGAGAACGAGGAAAATGAATGGCCTTCCTTGAAATTTTCCCCAGCAATAGGAGATTAGAGAGAGATGTGTCTTGAGTCTTATTCTTTGGAAGTCCAATACAGTTCACCATATACAAGTATTCCCATACTATGCTTAGGATATTCGGTTCATTGTCAGACATGGCAGCTTATTATTGGCTTAGCTTCAGAATGTTCCTGCAAGTCACTCCTGTGCCCAAATGGAAATGCAGATTCCATGGACTCTTAAAAAAAAAGTGAGGCACTGCAAGAGCTTTCAGCAGGGGTTCATCACCATTTTCTTTTTTCATACCCAACGTGGTGTGCTTTTATACACTGGAGTGGCATCAGAACAATCCTATGTTATATTAAAAAACAACACAGAAGAGGTTTATGAATTATGTAAAGCTATGCCCAGGCTGAAGTGACTTGCTGTTGGGTTTAGTGCAGGGGTGGAGTATTTCGCCCAGCTTTCTTCAGCATTTCACGGGGATAGGAGTGAAAATGCTCCCCCAAAGTTTGATTTTATCTGGGGGGGGGGGGATTCTAAGACGTTTTATGACCAAGATGGAAGTCTTCTTAAATAACCAATGATTTAACACACACAATTTTTTTTAAACGAAAAAGTGTGTGCTAAAAGCAGAAAGTCCACTTCGTTTTGGCCACCAAGGAATTTCAGCTGGAGAATCTGAAGTTCCTGATCACAGAATTTGCAACCTCCTGCCCCCCATTTCAGAATTCTAACTCTCACTTCTGTGTTGTCATCGCTAGCACTCCAGCCCAGAAATGAGAGGCCAAGTTCTTCTCTCAATTATGCTGATTCAGCACCATTAGGTTTGGGAGGGTTGCAGAATATAGCCCAATGACTCCCTCAGGTTTAGCCCTCTCCTGATTAATTTTTAAAACACATGACGTGCATTAAGTTTATTTTCAGATTGTGCTTGTTTTTCTCTAGCTTTGATGTAAAACAGAACTGCACAGTGATCTGTCCTCCGTTATAATAATAATAAAAAATGTTTCACTGCAATGTTGTACCTTGTGGTTTTCTTGAGCATGGCTTAGTGGGCATAGAAATGAATTACAAGGCGGCAGCGGTAGCAGCAATGGAATACAGGGAGAAACAACCAGTGAACTGATCTGATGTTGATTCAGTAAAATGAAACAGTTTTGCAAATAGTGAGCCATCACAGGAACCCGATCACTTTCAGGAGATAATGTTGTCATGCATTTCTTCCGGACGGGCACACACAGCCACTTTCACAAAGTAAAAGAAGACGTTTTTGGGATTTCAAATCTTGCTGAAATGTAAGTAGCAGCTCAGTGTTCAGGTTAAACAAGCCACAGCCAGGCTGACTGACCCTCCCCATTACTCCAAGTTGTAGACCAACAAACCAGGGTGGGTGCAGAGAGCAGAGTCCACACAGTGGACTTCAGTGCCATAATCAAAGTAATACCCATTTCTCCTGCTACAAGTTCCTCCATTCTTGGTTCTTTGCAAAGATCCCAAACCAGGATCAGAGAAATGCATTGCCAGATGCCCCCATTTTGGAGCAGGGTAGTTTTTGTTCATTTTTTCTTGTTAAAAGATAAAATTATTTAATTTTCTGCTCTGCCTTGGGGCATCTGGCATTGCGTTTCTTTGAGTGTGGTTGAGATGAGTGTGTTTAAAAGCATTATCAGGAAGTAAAACTGTTTTCGCTCCGGGGCTGGTTCACACTCATCTCAATTATCTATACAGGCCAGCAAGAAGTATAATCAAAGGTTCAAGGACATCTTCAAGCCAGGCAAAAAGTGCTCAAGATGCAAAGGAGGACAAGGAGTGGGGAATAGGGAGAGTCCAGAGGACCAGATAGAGTGCCGCATTTGGCCCACCGGCGCAAGGTCCCACATCCCTGCTAAAAGCTACCAGTTAAGAGATGAGTTGTCAAAGAATTGTAAAATTGTAAGAGATCCCCCATGGGTCATCTAGCCCAAACCCCTGTGGTGCAGGTATCTCAGTTAAAGCATACATGACGGATGCTGAAACACTCACAGCTTGATAATGAAATGAAAAAGGTATTTAAATATACCTTCCTGAAGAAACCAGAGGCCTTTCTCCTGGGCATGGTCGGCCAAGTGGTGCCAAAAAAGGACAGAACTTTCTTTATGTATGCTACAACAGCAGCAAGAATACTCATCACGAAGTATTGGAAGACACAAGATCTACCCACCCGGGAAGAATGGCAGATGAAGGTGATTGACTACATGGAACTGGCGGAAATGACTGGCAGAATCCGAGACCAGGGAGAACAGTCGGTGGAAGAAGATTGGAAGAAATTTAAAGTTTATTTACAGAAACATTGTAAAATGAAGGAATGTTAGAAGGATGTTGGAATGAGGTAATGTGGTTTTAGCAGAAATGCTATAAAGGATTAAGAAAAAACAGATTGTTAAATGGTGAAAGGAGGGAAAGTAAAGTTACAATATATTAAGATAAAATAGAGGACAAAAACTGGAAAAGATGGAAAGGACTTGCTGAAATAGCTAACTGAACTAGAATACAAAAAAAGGGAGGTGTGAGGAGGTCAAGGAAACAAGCAAATGAAAGATAAATTATGGGAAGATTTATTGTGTATATATATATATATATATATATATATTCTTCTTTTCTTTATTGTGATGTGATGTGATGTTCCGTTTTTCTGTTTAATATGCTGTTTTCTGTTTTTTCTTTTTGTAATCTTTTGAATCTTAATAAATATTATTTAAAAAAAGAAAGAAACACTCACAGCTTGTTTAAAATAGATGATAGTTGTACAATGGATCAAACCTCAGCTTTCAGGATTATCTTTGCAAATGGTTCACGGACAGCCAACTTAAGTAAAATATTTGTGCTGTTCTGAAAAGAATTCCCATAAGTACCAAGTGTGGTGTCAAAACTAATGGCTTTTTCACACATTATACTGCAACCAAAGCCAATTCTAGCTTGCTGGATCATGGACCTTCGAAATATGTATTTGCAAGCATGTTTGCATCCATGTGTTATGTTTTCAGGTGTATATTTAAGACAAGATAAGTGTTTATCTAAAAATGCAGTGTGAAGAATTACCATTACCAGTAAAGTGCAGGAGTTTAACTGTAGTACAATTCCTCCACCACCCCTCCTATCTCAACATTTTTCTCTCTTGTGGTTGTCTGAAAAGTGGAGGTTCAAATTTGTAGCATACTGCTTCACATCACCCTCTTATTTCCACAGTGCTTGCATATATTTTGGGAGCACAACAGTGGAAAAATCACGCTGCTCCATTCTCTCCATGCACAGCCTCTTCATTGATTGATAACTGGGTGTCTGGTTGTAGTGTTGCGTCATTGAGGACACTCTTTGAATGCAGGGGTGATGAAATAGCACTTAGAAACTGCAGCTACAATAATCAAACAACATGCAGCATGACCAGATATGGCTTAGGTTTCTCTGTATATTGCAATCTCCATATTGCAATCGCACCCACTCACCCATCCTTGTGCTACACATGAATCCATATAACACAGCTAACATGCATATATATGTTCACAGTGTGCATTCACAACATAAATAATTATCTACTGCTTCACCCAAAAGTATGAGTAAATGGCTAGCAATGGCTACTAGCCATGATGGCTGTGCTCTGCCGCCACAGTCAAATACAGTATCCTTCTGAATACCTGTTGCTGGAAACAGCAGGAAGGGAGAATGTTCTTGTGCTAAGGTCCTCCCTGCAGGTTTCCCATGGGTATTTGGTGGCCACTGTGAGAACAGGATGCTGAACTAGGCAGCCCACTGGCCTGATCCAGCAGGCCCTTCTTGCATCCGTAAGATTGAAACATATCCTTTCTTTGCTATCCTAATTGTAACGATGATGATGCTAATTTCGGTGGGTGTGGAATGGAACACATAAATTCATGTCAGGCAATCCAGCTGGGTAATGATTTGCAGAAAGGAGGAATTGATTCAGGATGATCTCTGGGTAGGATATTAATCTGAAGAGCTGGGTGGCAGAAACAGAGAGGAGAGTGGCAGGGAGAAAAGAAAAAAGTAAATGACCCCTGGATGGTTAAGTCCAGTCAAAGATGACTATGGGGTGTGGTGTGTTAAAATTCCTGCTCCATGATTGCAGTCATGGGATTGTTGTTTATCACATGACGGTGTATGTTTTGACTCCACAGAGTGGGAAGTGACGGAGACAGGGTGTTTGTGTTACTATGTTCCGTGAAGTGGGACTGTTGTCCTTTGTTCTTTCTCTTTGCTGTCTGATGCTAGAGAGAGAGGGAGCCATGTTGCAGTGCTCTGTGTGTGTTTATATGTAAATAAAGTAGATTAGCCAAAATGCTGAGTTGCTGAGGTCTGTTACACAAGCTGTGAAGACTCTGCGGATCCCTAAGTGTGCCGATGTCTGTTGGCATTGGTTGCTGTAATGTTCAGGCAGAAGAAAGCTTTTGAAGCTCCCAAACGATTGACCAGGAGGGAGGAAACATTCCAGTCGGGCATGTGTCTCTGCCAGGGTCCTACTCGAGAGCAGGACGAGCTCCTGACATCTCGCTTTTCAGCCCTAGGAAGCCGGCGTTTGTCCAGGTCATGTAGCCAGCATGACTAAACCGCTTCTGATGCAACGGGACACCGTGACGAGTGCCGGAGCGCACAGAAACACCATAAGTACCCTGCCACAGCGGTACTTATTTATCTACTTGCACTAGTGTACTTTCGAACTGATAGGTTGGCAGGAGCTGGGACAGAGCAACAGTAGATCACCCCATCACGCGGATTCAAACCCGCCTTCAGCTTTGGCCTCTCTCACGTACCACCAGCAGGTGGGTGCTAGCAGATTAACCCTAAGGGAATTCAACCTTTGACAGACAGATGGCTCCCACCCCATATATGCTAAACTATATTGTTGGTATACTGTAAAGCAGATGTGTAGAGCATGCTTATTGACTCAGAGCTGAATACCTGGGTTTCCAATGGAAGTTACTCCCAGGTAAATGCATAGATAACCTAAAGGAGTAAACAGTTTCAGGCAGCGGACCTTTGTACATTTGCGTACTTGGAAGGAAGTCCAACTGAAGACACTCAGATTTACTTGACATGTAACTGATTGTTGTTCTGCTACTTCCACGCTGCTACCTGTCCTTCCCAGGTTGATTTGGTTGGCACATTCTATAGAATGTGATAAAGCTTGGGGAAATCTCTTGAAATCCATTATGTCGAAGTTCCTGCACTTCCTTCAGGACCAGCAGCGCTGCTGGTAGCAAGAAGACTTCTGCCTCTCACCTCTTTACCTGCATGTGCAATAAAGCTCCTGTGTTTTAATGCCCTGTACATAGTAGCCAAAGTAAGCCGCTGGGGCAACTATGGATGTGCTAACATGCAATTTAAAGCCAGCAGGGGGAGAGATTTTCCACATCTGTTGCCCATCCCATGTGATTTGCATCTTGTGCTTGTGGGGTCAATAGCAAAAAGCAGGTATTATTCATACTTCACTACAGCATGATTGACCTAAATCCAGTGGTTTTTTTCTGGGGGTACGCATACCTCTAAACATTTTGTGAATCTTTGTAAAAGGTAAAGGTAAAGGGAACCCTGACCATTAGGTCCAGTCGTGACCGACTCTGGGGTTGCAGCGCTCATCTCTCTTTATTGGCCAAGGGAGCCGGCATACAGCTTCCAGGTCATGTGGTCAGCATGACTAAGCCGCTTCTGGCGAACCAGAGGAGCGCACGGAAACACCGTTTACCTTCCCGCCAGAGCGGTACCTATTTATCTACTTGCACTTGCGCTTTCGAACTGCTAGGTTGGCAGGAGCAGGAACCGAGCAACGGGAGCTCACCCCGTCGCGGGGATTCGAACCGCCGACCTTCTGATCGGCAAGTCCTAGGCTCTGTGGTTTAACCCACAGCGCCACCTGCGTTCCGTGAATCTTTGTACTTTTGTCCATTTACTATATTTTTCCTGATTTGAACTATAAAATGATGATTTTCTTGA